GGAGAGAGCTCTGAGCTGAGGAAATCGGTACGAGATGGAGGCAGAGCCTCACACCTTGCAATTTCTGCGGCGGAATTCCTGCGGAATTCAGCTCTTCTCTGCTGCCAAAGCTGCAGCATCGATAACACATTCTTCCGCTTTGTTGGACTCCGAGCTTATTTATGGTGGGTTTTGCTTACACCTGCCTTGAGAATTCCTTCCTAAACCCTATAAAACCCTAAACCCTCACACGTCGAGATTCGGGAGGCTGCTCTCCTGAACTTTCTGCACGTGCACATCATGGGCAGCTTCTATTACCGGCTCTACTGGGTAGGCCAGGGCGCGCCTGAGACCTCGAAGAGTTTCGATGGTTTGTGATTGGAGATCTTACAATAAGGGAGTTTCCGAAACATTAGGGGTACCTTATTTGGGGTCCTTACAATAAGGATGCTACAACCTAGGGTATTATATTGGGGTCCACTATTTTCGAAAGCTCCCATAAAGTTACATGAAGCACAAGGAAGCCAAGCATGCGGCTACCGGAGCGCTTGAGGAGTGCTGCGGACGTAGGAAGAACCGGGTTCCAAGCCATCGTCAGGGAAAGATGAACCGAAGCGTCGCTAAGTCTCGGACTCCAGCCCGCCGAAGCATGGGCATAGCAACTGCTACATCTGCTACTGCAATCTGTAGTAGTATATATATATATAGTACTATAATATGATGCTGCGAGAATATAATATTACTACAGCATGATATTATTCACTATAGTATAATAAGACTTCCCCCTTCTGCCAGGGGCGACCTCCAGACGGTGGGTGGACGCTACCTATCTCGGGCAGTCCCCGCCTCAGCACAAAGCCGTCTCTCCAAGGGTGCGCGAAACTCCGACGGAACCCCAAGGTTGGGGGAGTTAGATTATACGATGGTAAGATTATACTACAGCAATATTGTTGTTTATAGTGATATTAAATTTACTAAATTACAGTAAGATTATAATAAGCTTCTAACTTACAGGTTTCCTTCTTAGGCAGTTCTGCTCCACAAGGCTTCCCCCTATTTGCGGCAGATGGCAGAAGATCTCGAGGTCAAGATTCTGACCCTGGTTGATGATCAGTTAAAAAATCTGAGTGGTGGCGACTGCGAAGGGTATGTGCCGAAAACCGCCAGAGACCCTTCTCAGGCTGTCCCCGCTGAACCAAGAGCGCTTCTTGGGCCAGGCAGGGCTCCTTTGCCGAAGCATCGGCCACCTTACATACATCTCGAAGTCGGACCACAGAATCGGGAACTACTGTATCTTAGTGATTTCCGTGTGTGCTTTAGCTGAAATTCTGCTTGAAACTCTACATCTTGCCCGGATGATGTTCCCGAAGCAAGATCCACAGCGCCAGGACCTGTGGGTGAATCCCGACAGCCTCAGCGCGGCTCGGTTCTGTTAGGCTAACTCAGCATGCAATCCTCACGAAGTGTCGTGAATGTGTTTTCCACCACAATCAACAGTACCCCGGATACCGGATCAAAATGCAGTAAAGAAGCCCCGGCCATGCCAAAGTCTGCCAGATCCACCGCAGAACTGTCTTAAGCATCGCTTCTTTTTTGTGCCGAGCCGCTCAGTTCAAATAACTTGCATCTCCAAGAGTAGAGTGCTGGCCTCGACCTCCCACTAGATAGCAGATCCTTATACGGCGAACTATAAGGCTTCAATAAGTAAGGACCGTAAAGCAGTGTCCGTCTCTAGTCTCAGTCCTCCAAAGTGGGGTCGAGCTTGTGGCCATCGTACCCATGTAAATGGACCTGGCCATGACAAGCATATATATATATATATAATGTGTGCCATGAGTATAGTGGTATATTGGTTACATATACGCATGTACATAGATATACGTGTATATATATATATACGTACATACATACATATATATATACACACACACATGTATGGACGACCATTTTCTGCCAGACGCAGGTTCCAGTATATTCCAGTTCAAAGCGAACAAGGTTACATGCACGCAGGTCAATGAAACTGAGAGTAGGCTCGTTCTCAGCAAGTATCTGCTCCCAGGTGGTTTGGGATGGCGTCTATGCACGAAACGATTTCATGCAGGGAAGCGCCGCACCTGCACGTTTACTTCCTTGAGCCGGACAATCGGGAATTCCTTGCAGCTTCTTTTACCGGAGGGTATAGTTCTGCAGAATTCCGGCTCCAGTTAAACAGGTCCTAGGTGAAGCTCGAGTTTCAATCTAAAGCCTGCATGGATATATATGATCCGAACCGCGAGACTGGAAAAGTCGGCTCCCTGTCTTCCGCATGGACATCTGTAGCGCTTTCTTTGCACATCTTCGATGCTGGACAGGCGGTTTCTTCCCTGCCAAGCGTTACGAAAGACCGGTCGGGGAGCTTGGACCGGACAGGGACGCATTCTTGAAAGTCGTAGTAAAGCCGGTGGAGGCAAGATGTTGTGTCTTCGAGTTTCCGGTTTAGTCTATCATGGAGTGCCTGCTTGATGACAGTTGATGCCAACGTAGATGCGCCGAAAGCGTCCACGTTGTTCTTATCATTCTGGCTCAGATATTGTGCCACGTCGTCCCGAGCCCATGCCCGTAAGTAAGCGCAACAGCGACTTCTTGAAGCTGATGTCGCCTTTCCCCCACAACACAGATCAACACCTGCCTGCTGCCACCAAGACACTGCAAATGCAAGTGACAGGCTTTCCGCAAGGCCGTAAGGTCGGTTGCACGATCGTTTCCCGAGCCGCCTAACAGCTTGGCAGCAAAATGCCCCCGAGGTTGATCAACGTTTGGCAGGAGCAGTGCCGCTCCGCTGTGGGTATCGTCGTGCAGCCAGCAGTTGCCTCAGTCATGGCACTAAGACAGCGAGTAGCTGCAGGTTAGCGTTCGGGTGGCTGACATCTGATTCACTTCGTGGGCAATGTGGGCGGTCCAAGGCTTCAGCTGTTCGTGGGTTTACGGAGAATGTATAGTGAAGGGCCGGCACTACGTCGCCCACCTCCAAGCTACAGAGACAGGGAGCGGGGGACCTCGTAGTCCTCCAAGCCACGCGCAAGCAAGCAGGTAAGCAAATGATTTGCCTCGGTTTATGTATCCGTTTATGTTCAGTCAGATATGTTACATGCAACTTTCTCTTGGAGAGTCTTTTCACAACCTTCTTCTACAGACGCCCGAGCGATGACATCCTGCAACCCGCAAGCCCGCTGTCCGTGAAGCATGCAGAATCTGACGAGGAGTTGAGGGCGACCACCGCCACAGGATGTTCCGTGGACGTGGAGCTCCGCTGTTCCGAGGCATCTTCTGTGTCCTTGGTGCTTCGTTCATTTCAAGCAGTCTTGTGAGTCTTGTGTCGGTGTTTCACGACCCTCGGAGTGCTTGCCAAAGGTCGTCGTAAATACACAAAGTGTTTTGACATTCGCTTCCTTTCACGGTCCGCAGTTGTCCCAGTTCGCTACAAACCCTAAAGGGATCGCAACTTACGGATGCCCTCTTCTCAGAGCCTGTACAACACTCGTGCACAGCTTGCATTTAAACACTCAGCAATCCCCAAGTAACGCCTCTGGCAGAAGAGCTTGTCAGTTTGTACGAAGTTAGGCTCAGTCTTCTTCGATCTCGCTTGAACTGGGTAGCCGGTCCCGAGGCCCTTAGCTTACAGAGAGAGCAACAGCATCTCGCAAATCCTTGAACATTCCTCCTCTCTCCCGCAATCTGCCAAGAAGGAAGCACTAGCTGCCATAGCGTCAGATCAGGTGCAGTACGTCACCCCTCTGTCCTTCACTCTCAAGGAGCCTGGTGTTAAGCGCGCAGATCGGAGCGTCGGATGTCCTGAAATGTAAGGTGAGTGCCCAGATGTGCCTATGGGTACCAACAGATGTGTGTGTCTACATATTTACACAACATACATATATAGTTACGTACATACATACATACATACATACATAATTACAGTGTGTGTGTGCGCGTTCATTTGTTGATTTTTCCAATATACATGCATTTTTTTATACATGTATCTATGCATCTGTGCGCCCCCGCGCGAAGGAAAATGACCCATGTCACTTACTCGTGTGAAAACGGGAAGCTGAGCTCCGCAGCACGGACGCTTCTTCCGCGTCATCAGTTTGCTGCCAGGGTTGATGCACACAATCAGCTTTGTTCTGGTATGGTATGCAACCGTGGCAAGCCGCCACCATGACGACTCTTACCATGCCTCCCCCTGCACCCGAACCCGAAGCTTATCTCGCAGGAAAGCGAGTCCTTTTCCTTTCTCTTTGCCTTTGATCAGAGAGGTTACACGCAGACCGAGGCCGCACAACTGCTTAAACTGTTTGTAGGGTTGTTGACGGTTGGGTTTGGAGTTTGGGCCGGGGTTTCGGCTTGCGGGTTTACAGGGATTCAGTTTACAGTGGCTGCTGTGTAGCAGTGTCCACTACAAGCTTCCCGCTGTCATGCTTGAGCGGTCTGAGGCAAGAAGTCTACTTTCCCTGCAGACTGTAGTCTTCGTGTCAACAGAGCTCCTGACATCCTTATGCACGCAGCCTCAGAACCTTAGTTAGCTGGGCCATCCGGAATCCACGACGCCACCACAGGGCCCCAAGACATGACCTCCAAACATCCTAAAAAAAGTACGTAGAGTGTCCCAAACACTCCTCAAGGTATTATTAGAATCTATTAGAAGGGTCGGACGAAGTTACCCATAGTAGCCTCCACTATAGACCTTTTGTGCGTACGTATACTATGCTATCCCTCCTTTTCTTTTGCTTAAGGCTTTTGGAACTTCGATGGTTGTACTTGCAGCCTCCGCCCAATTAGAGTGAGCCGGGGTACAAAGCCCTGGGGACGAAGTTCTGATTTCTGCTACAGCTGGTAGGCGACGTGGATCCATGATTCTGTCCAGGCTGGACTCAGTATCCTGCAGACCCTCTTCATTTGCTTCGCTGTCGGCGTCGGCGCGATGACCTTCTCCACGGACCGTGGGTGGTTGTCGGTAATTTTTTCACCGTGACTGATTTGGCGGTATGTCCTCCCCTGCCGGCAACCGTAGCACCTATGCTGAGAACCAGATGTATCCACGGGTGCAGGTTGCCAATGCTCCTGATTTGGTTCCTGTGTCTCGTGTTTAGACTGATGGAGACGTGGGCAACGAGCTCTGGACCCAAAGCTGAACCAGAGTGAAAGCGTCGACAGCACACGCCAAACCTGTCAGCCTGAAAGGACGCTAACGAGTTGCTTCTGAATCCAATCGCGCTGGCCTCAGCCGAGAGTGTCCAAAAGCCATCCTGTTTGCCTGGAATGTCATGCGAGGTCCATTTTGAGATATCGAAGCTGTCACATGAAAACTTTGATTGCCCAAGACTACATAGGTCACGGGAGGATTTCAAAGTTCCATGGTCAGTTCCAATCGCGAGAAGACCAGTTAGAGGAGTCACTCCCTGGAGCTTCTGCTACACTGCACGACATGAATCCCGAAGATAGGGGAACAACAAGTGTCACTGGTAAATGACTGTACACCTCGACACCCAGGCCTCGTTAAGACACTCTATAAAGCCCGCCTGTAGGTTTACAGCAGTGAAACTTGGCTGTCAATCTAGAGAACGACGGAGCACGCAACCATGGGTCAAATCAGCGCCCTTTTCTGCCGAGGAGCGCATGATTGAAAAGATGGAGACCATCAAGGACAATCCCCTCGAGGCTCTGTTTAACCTTGTCGAATCTGTGGGGACCACCGATTTCGGGACGCTAGTGCGTGAGGATCTGCGAGCCAACTGTGGATTCTGCACACCCTTCTCAGGATGTTTCGGATGCGTCCGATAAATTGAAACGTGTTTGTCTTCCGACGGATGTTCAACCTGTCGATGGGCTCCAACTGGCTTCCTTACGGACCTCTCTACGGGTGGCTATTCAGATTGCCGTGGGCAAGCCACTTGTCCAAAAGGCAAAGTTCAAAGGCAGATTAGTGTTCTTCCTGTCTGCTTGTGCTGCCTTTCAAACTGGCAGTTTCACTGCAGTGATTTCACTGGTGTCCGTGGACGTGTTTGCATCTTGGAGCATCAGCTTTTGGCCCATGGCACTCCTCCTGACATGCTTCCTGTTTAGTTCACAGATGATGTGCCCAGGTGTGAGGTATTGAAAGTCGGGGCTTTAGTCTTTCGATGTCTTTCGTGCAGAGTGAACTTTTAAGATGCGCACAACTGCTGACTAGAGCAGATGGTGCAACAAGAACTATCTCTAAACCCTACAGACTGGTTCCTTCTTATAATCATATACAGCAAAATACCCCAAAACCCTATTCTGATTGATAAAGCCCCTGTAGTATATCATGAAAGCTTAAACCCTTGTCCAGTAACGGCTCGACAACGGCCAGGCGATGCGACTGGGGGACATGGAGTTCCGCCGGGAGGAAGTGGACGAGGCAAGCGTGGTTCGGCCTCCTTTCAACTCCACTTAAAGGATCATGGGACTTAGTAACTAGGGTTATAGCTAAGGTAGCTGTACTTATAATTACGTATAACCCCAATTAAGGTACTTATAACCCTACTCACTAAGTCCCATGATCCTCCAAGCAGCTTCTGTTGCAGGGTGTAGGATTCGGGGCTCGGGGTTTTGGCTTCAGGCTATTGGGCTTGAAGGGCCTGCGGGTTAACTCCTACGGACCTGCATGGGAAGCACTGGTACTCCTCCGGGTCCCTGTTTTGATTCTGTAGCATAACTAAATCAAATTGTATCGTCAGACTATACTAGAATTATAATGTACCCCAAATCCCCGAGAAAGTAGTTCATGTGCCAGGCTCACTTCCGGCAGAAGCTGGAGAAAATGAGCCGTCCCTGGCAGGCCAAGATCATCCATCAGCGAAGTTTGGGTGGGGCTGCAGGATTTGAGGAATCCCATCATGTAATTTTGACTTCAGGCTGGAAAAAGGCAGTTTGCAGGGCCGAATAGTCCACATGTAACCCTTGAAGCCTTTAACTTGTTTGCAGCCTGTGCGCCCATCCAAAATGCCTGTTCATGTCTCGCATGAGCGGCGGGTACGACCCTGTGGTTGGATGGTAGTGACGAGCTGAGCCATTTGATTTTCACGGTTGACTGCATGGTTCAGGATTCAATCGCAAGAGCCTGCAAGAATGGTCAGCAGCAGCTCGCAACTGAAGCTTATTCAACATCGTCTAACATAGTCATAGTCTCGCTCCTGGCGACGGGTGTCTGATAGCCCCGTGAGTTTATACTGGGGCACTGGCGCTGGTCGAGTTCAAGGCAAGCCGTTGCAATCTACGAAAACAAGATGCGCAACACGGATTCCCGCAATGTGCCCTCAGCCCAACCATTCCGAAGCAATTCCAGAGTGAACTCATGGAAAGTGGAGACTGCCAAATGACGGTTGCTGCCTCTGTTGTCATTGTCCCTGTTGCCGTCGCTGTCGTCGGTCGTCGTCGTGGTTGATGTTGTGCTGTTGTTCATTGCAGTTGGGGTTCCTTCTGTTCGTTGCTTTTGCCTCATGTGATCAGCCCACGGCCTTCGAAGACGTGGTCAGAGTAAGTCGCACTCCAGTTCCCTGCAGAAGTTTAGTTGTCTGATATGCACAGCTTAGCTTGTTTCTATCACACATATGTACTACGCCTACTGCGCTTCGTTGTGTTATTGTTTGATACCATCTCATGACCCATGTGTGTGCGTGTGTATCTGTATGTATCTACCACCCTGTCTGGCTGTTTGTCTATCTATCTACCTCTCTACGTGTCTACCTATCTATCTATGCATCTTCCTATCTACATACCTATCTATCTTCCGAATAATTCCTATCCGGCTGTGTATCTGTCCATCTAACGACGATCTCGATGTCTCTAGCTTTGTTTTATCTGTCTGTCTATCTATCTATCTATGTCGAAGATTTGACCCGGCCAGCTCCTCTACCAATACCGCCGGGCGAAGAAGCACAAGGACGGAAGCAGGGCTCGACAAGGGTTTCCTTGGCGAATTGCCACAGGTCGAGCCTTGACGACCTGCCTTGTGATAAAGCTCACAGGTTCCTAAACCCTAGATCCTAAACCCTAAACCCGTAAACCCCAGCTTTCGAAAGCCCTAAATCCTCGATTCCTCTTCTGCAGCAGTAGTCATCCTTCTGCTTGTGGGGCTGCTTTGTGAGACGTGGCTAACAGGAGCCCATGGAGACAGTCATGCTGGAAAAGACCATCATCAAGTAGCCACCTCAGCCATTCGGGGACTTCAGGCTCTTGAGCTTCAAGGGAGGCAGAGGTGCTGAAACTGGGACCCTTAAACAAGTACCCTAAAATAGTAGGATCCTGATTACAAAGACTCCAAAATACGGTACCCCCCCATTCTCGGAAACCAAAGAGTCGGAGAGCAACGAACCTGTTCAAGACTTAGCAGGTTCCGTTGCCCGACAGCTCGTCGAACAGACTGTCAGTGATTATTGCGTCGTGCTGTCGCACCTGTCGTAAATCCCGGCTTCCGCCCAAGAGGTTGCAGGAGGTTTCCAGACGCAGTGATGACTTGGGACGATCATACCAGCAGGATATCTATGCGACATTCGTAAGCAACCAACATTCCTTGGCAAGAGGTCCTTCTCGCCATAGTGTACCTAGCTGTAGCCTGACCAGACGTCGGAGTGCATAACGGCTGCATGAGAAAACTTGGGAATGCGCCGTGTAGGCACTGTACGGAACACCCAGACTCCTAGCTTCCTCCAGGATGAAGGATCCGAAATCGCAACGATCGGCCGTATCAAGATGATGACGATGATGATGATGATGATGACGAGGATGCTATGAAGACGCTCATGCCGTCAGAAGGAGGTGTTGCGATACCGAAACGAATCCTGGGTGAATCGGTAAAGTGCATGTCGTTTAACTTTCACAGCCTTGGACCATGCAAGTTGCAATTCCCCTGGCTGGCCCCAACCTTGCAAATCGTGATGCTCGGGTAGCTCGCAGCTGAACAGGACCCTGCAAAATCTAATTCCCCAACAGCTTGCAACGATTCCCCAATCCCTTGCTGCAAGACGGGACCCCGCAAATTCGAATCGCTACTTGCTTGTCGCAAAACAGGCCCCTACAAGTTGGAATCCCCCCAATACTTTTGAAGCCAAGCAGAAAGAACCCTCCTGGCAATTGGAATCACCGAAAAGCTTGATGTAAAACAGAGCCTTGCAAATTGGAACTTTCAACAGCCTGCCTCAACACTGATCCGCACCACTTGGAATTCTTCAATAGCTTGACACAGTGTGAGACAAAGCAAGACCCCTGTGGCAGCCCTGATTTGACACGGAGTATATGTCGCTGATTCCTTTTGTGTTGCTTCTCACTTGCCACTCTTGGATACCTGTAGAGATTTCGTGATCCGGCAGGAGAGGTCGTTGATGCCGCCTCTTTATCGTTGCTTTAACTGTTATACAACATACTCTGTTTGCATGTTCCTCCCAAGCACAGCTGAGCCAGTCAAGGCTTGGCGGACTGTTGGCCTTGGGCTTTGGCGAAGCTGGGGCAGAGGTTATTGGCCAGAACATGAAGGCGCGCTGGCTTGTCTTTCGGAAATCTCTGGCTTCGGCGGTTGATCCGGCCTGAATACTTGCCTAGATTCTATCGGGGTCGGGGGGTCCTTATTATAAGCACAGTACAATTAAAACCTATTCTCATTTTTAAGGCCCCTACAGTATTTTTCATACCGAATACGGCTGACTACAGCTACAGCATACCATCTGCGAGGGCGCAGACTCGCCTGAATTCTTTTTGCCGGTCGACACATTCGACAGATCAGTGGTTCGGCTGATGCAGGATCACCGCAGCTTCCTTGCAGGTGATATGTAAGACAATGCCGGAGCGGCAGTGAAGGGAAGCGGCAGGGCTGTCCGCGCTCGCCATCTACACATGACATAGTGACAGAGCTGAGGGCCCCTGATCAACAAGTGTTTGAACTGTGTTTGCTAAATTGGACTTTGCATGATTAGTGACTTCGCTTGCTTTGCAACCAACGGGGCTAACAAAACCCACAACTTCCCTGCCTTAGACCTACCCCTCCCACTTCAACCAAAACATGAATTTGTTTACGCCTCTTCGGCCCGTGAGCTTTAACGACAATCCCTGGAGCCCTGACAACCGGAACGCCAGGTGAGTGCCACGGCCGGGGTCAACGCCATGGTTCCGGGATCCAAGGCACGACGTCTCGTCGAAGTTGGCGCGCTTTCTGCTTTAGGGAACCCTTCCCGTAGAAGCAGAGCATCAGTATAGAGTACAATACTGCTCATTATAGGGCTGCTCATTATAGGACTTTGTAACTGTATAAGTATCCGCATGCCCCCAAACCTTACTGAAATTAATTCGCTTAAGTTTTCCTGCTAGATCCTAACTTCATTTACGCCTGCAAACTCTCCCCGCCCCCCAACAGAAGGAGCATGTGCTCCGAAATTGCTATGGGCCAGGGATGAACATTCAAAACGCAACCCCGTTCATCCTGAAGTTCACATTGAAGGCGGATGAATGCAAACGGGTCTTTAGATGGTGGGTTGTCTACATCAGCATTGCTTTGGAGTGAAGATTTTTGCGTGGCGACTTACAGTTCCGTTGAGAACCTGCCTGAGGTCGAAGCCATCATCGGCTTTTGCAACATTCGGAACTTCATGGCAGCGACCGAGGCCGTGGCTCATTGCTTGAAGCTTCCGGGCAGCGAGAGCTTGCCCTAGGGCCCTAGGGGTACGATGCTTTTCTGTGCATTCAGGTCGCGTCTGCGCTTAGGCTTACATGCATCGTGGAAAAGTACCCGTGCTTGTCTCGAAGCTATCTTCTGTGTGTCTCGGTTCTATTGCTATGCTCCCGCAAATCGCGCTGTATCGTCTCCACGCCATTGTTGACAACTCCTTCATGTTTTGACTCCTGTCCGAAATGGTCTACAACCCAACAAGCAAACAAACATGCGAAAAGCAAGCAACTAAACCGTTAGACAGAAGAAGATACAGACACAGATACACAGACAAACATGGAGATAGTCAGCCAGCCAGATAGATAGCTAGGTAGATAGAGAGATAGATCGATAGAGAGCAGACAAAACCGATACTTAATCAACCAGCTATAGACAGTAGGTTCAATAGGTATACATATAAACACCAGCATTAGCATAAGCATATGCCCACACATGTGTATATACATATATCTATATATATATATATATACGTGCACATGCATATGGCTGCATAAGTATAATGCTGCAAAAGCCCGACGCAGCAAGTGCTTTTCCACAAGGGCTCCAATCTCAGCCGCACAGCTCTCGCCTCATCGGATGGTTCAGCTGCGCGACCAGGTTCTGAAAGAGAAGGTGATGCTCTTCGCCGCATCCCAAGTGCGATTTGCCGGTCGGTCAACGATGCTCCGTTGCAAGCTCTGTTGTCTCTGGTCTTGACGGCAGTAGTTTAGCAAGCCACACGAGGCAGAGCCTTCCATAGTGCTTCGGGCCAACAGCAGCACCGAAGAGTCAATTGGCACAGGCTCCGAAGTTCATTAGCTCAGTCTCGCCATCGTTGAAGTTGATGCGGGAAAGACATGACGGTTCTTAGGTTTTGAGGGATGTTCGCAGTTTACGAATTCCTATTACGGCAAGTTACCTAAAAGCAGCGCATCCGGACGCTCCTTAATATTTCACGAGCTTTCAGTCGAGACAGTCGAGGTGAACCAGGTGGGTGAGATCGTCCACGGCTGCCCTCCCCTGAGAGCCAGCCTTTCATGGAAGTGTTGCAGATTTGGCGATGGGGGAAGGTTGAGGAGACTCAGGCAGGGCCTACGAGCCTAGAAAAACCACATTTCTACATAGTTATAGTTTTTGACACTGACTCCAGACAAGTTGCAGCCGGATCGTGAATTCGACCTTGGCACCTAGCCGGAATAGCTCAAGGCGTGGACGACTTCCATGGCGCGCCAAATCGGAACATCGGCGATGCCTTCTTGGTGATCTGGCGGCTGACAGGCTCGAGTTGAAGCCGCCGGGTTTTCGATTGCGGGTGTACGGCGTGAACATGGCTCCTTCAGCGAAGTTAGCTGTGTTTGTTGTTTCTAGGATGTTGATGGCGTGCCCTGCGTGCAAGTAGTTCTTGTGATGGAGGCTAGTGCGGCTGGCATGGACTTAGCGTGGCGGCTTGCTTGGTTTCAATTTGCCCCTTCTAGGACCAGAGGAGCCGCAGTCACGTACTCAAGACGAAAACCAAACCAAAGTACATGGGCTGATTCGACGAAATAGATGCAACAACAGAGGACTTCTTCGGCCGCGGGATGCTTAGAGCCCCACTGCTGACCTGCTCGTGCGGGGTCATCGTGCAGGTCTTCCGGAAAAGCAGACCAAGTTGGCAGACATGTCCCTCATGTCCTTTGTACGGCGCCCGGCTTCCGGGTCGAGATTCAAGAGAGATGTGGCTTGATGAACTGTTGACCCTGGTGAGTCCTCTGCACTTCCGAGAAGCTAGCCGCAGCTAACGGCTGTTAGATCGGGATGTACCGCTGTTGATAGCGTCCTCGAACATTTGTCAGCAGTTGATTTTGAAAAGATGGTTCTACAGCACTGTATGTGTGCTGAATCCGACGATGGTGATCCTTCAGGTTTGCCATAGCACGTTCGGGCGTCCAAGTGGGAGATCCAGCTGACATTTTCCAGCTCGTCAGCTGGTGATCGTTCTTGCAAGTGAATCTGGCAAAAGGGGGTAATTTCCTCGGGGCAGAACGTCCTGGTGTGTCTGCAGCCGTTCTCCGGGTCCCGCTATTTCTGCGTTTCCAGCCTGCTGCCAACAATCCTAAAACCCTGACACTGAACTCAAAAAAGCGAACCACCTGCCTACAGGTGAAAATCATCGCGGAGATCAACAAGTGACTGCCTTGGTGTTTCAGAGGTACAACACAATCGTGGTAAGACTGGTGCGAGTACGAGTAGTGATCAAATCAAAAGACTGGCAGTTGCTTGCAGCGATGATCGCCAAAAAGAGTCACAACAGTGCTGCCAGTCACTAGGCATCATAAACGAGGCAGTTTCCGGCCATAGCTACATGCCATGACACCATAACAAGCCAAGAATCCATCCGGCCTGTTCCTGTCCGAACGGTGGCAGCGGTGGTAATGGTTTTCAAGTACAGAGCAGAGCAGCAGCTGCGTTGTTTCGACTGTTTCGTTTCCGTACTGGATTATAGTTCTGGAGCTGCCCCCGCGTTTGCAGCCCTACGTGTGTTGGCTTTCTCCAGGTCGCGGGTCATCGCTGCCTATCGTCAGCATCCCGGCTTCCAGATGCGAATACAGGAGCTTGTCGTAGGAGAGCTCTTGCTCGGATATAGAATCCCTCCTGCTGAATCCCCCTCGTGCTGAATCCCTAAACGTGGCAAGTGTTACAGAGCTCATGAACAAAACGTTGCCCGGAGGTGTCGTTGGTCTGTTGGGGGGCAGCACCCTGCACTCGACAATCTCCAGCCCTTGATGACAAAAACCTGTTGCAGCTGTCGGAGTTAGCGAGAGCTTCATCCGGTTCAAGTTGCATGGAGGACTACCGGGTTACGCTGGGCTTCGGCCTGCACTGCGGCTGGGCGATTGAGGCCAGGTCGCGTTGAAGAAGCCATCACTCGTCGAACTCCGCACGCCTAATGAGACTCCACCGAGGTGCATCGCAAGGAAAGGGCATGAGAGCTTGTGGCCTCAGCTTGAGAGTCTCTGTGTGCTTTTTAGGTTCATGAGCCACCCTCAGACTAGTTTGTTGGTGGTTTCTTCCAGCTGGCAGCACAAGTCTTCTGTGCACCACTCATCGTGACCCCTAAGGGTGCAAGTAGTCCTAATTTCTGGCTTTCGATAACTAAAAAGCCCCTAAAGTTCTAGAATAGGAAGTTTGTGGACCCTCTGGGGATTCGACATATCGCATGTGAGCAGGGGGCCATTGGCAGCGAGTACAAGATCGATGCCTCCTACCTGTCTCCCAATGTCAACGTCGCCTCAAAGCTGGAGGCCACTGTGACATCGGCTGCAAGCATTGAAAAGCCGTTGAGCCGAATTCGTGCCGTTTTTCCTCGTCTTAAAGTGCATGGTGCTGTGGGAGGCCGCCACATCCCAGTTCAAGGTGTGGATGCTGCTGTCGCACAGCATGGTCCCAGCCTCAACCGTCCTGAATTTCTGACAGCAGCTGCTATCCACTCTACTCATCCAGCGTCAAGCAGAGACCAGGCGGCTTTGCCTGTCAAGACCCGAAGTTGCTTGCATGCAGGTGAACATGTGCAGCAACGAGGCCTCGGAAGCGTTGGGGGGTCGGAGTCACATTGGCACGCAACTTCAAGTGGAAGATGTTGGAGCCTCGGGGCGATGCAGCTTTGGGTCGGCGTTGTCATTGCAATCCTCGACTGCTTCCTCATTTCATGTCAGACTTGGGGCCATGTACCTATTTCTATGTTGATGGTCTAGCACCTCTTCCCAAGAGACGACTCCTCGAACGATGCTTGCGCCGACGACAAGACTGGTAATCGTCACGATGTTCGGCTTGGCAAAGCTGAGAGATAGTACCCTCCCACACACACACACACACATGCACCCGCACACACAAACACACAACTGACAGCAACATGTGTATGTATGCGTATCTTATGGAGTTGCAATATGTTTCTACAGACATGCGTGCGGACACATCTACCTGCGGACCTGCATGCATGCATACCCATACACAGGGTCAGCATGTGGCGAGACTGCAACCTCGATGGCAACGAAAGTGTGTGTGGAAGACACAAGTACAGATCCGACTACAGTAGAAGCCCAAAAGTTGGAAACCCCCATAGCCTCAATCCTTCAGAGTTGGGAATCCCAGCACGATTTGACCTTAACCCGGCTTCCAACTTTATGGGGTTTACCGTAGACATCCCGAGCAGGTAGCCTTGACCTGCAGACTCATCGACCAAGTCACAGTCAGCGGGTCACGCAGCTCGGCTTGAGGAATTTGCAGGCTCGTAATACACGGGACCTTAGGGGACAAGAGCCCGTGATTTGAAAACTTGCTGATGGCATGCTTTGACACGCTCTTCTTTGCATGTCGTTGGTTCTTGCTAGTTTGCCTCCTTCAGGAATCCCGATGCGTGTGTACACCGTGGACCTCGACGTCTCAAGGCACAACTGTCTGCCTCGACAGCTTGCTTCATTGCTTGCCCATCATGTAGCTCCGAATCAGCTGGGTTGCTTTTGTCTCAACTGAGTCTTATTCATTCATACCTGTCTGAACATCTTCGACTTCAGGGTAAGAGCCTTCCTGTAAGCCTTGATCCCCACGTTTCTGGTCACAGAAGCCGGGCGGAATCTCAGCAGGGTATCATGTGAGAAGGGAAAGATCAACGGTCTATACATGAGGGGTGCCCTGCTGTTTGCTGTTCGATGTTGTGCCCGGAGTCGGCATTCCTGAGCCATCTCTTGCCATTGCACACCTCCGCAACGCAGTTTGTCTGTAGAGCCATGGCAGAGAAGCAGCTGCAGTCAACAAAATGAAGCTTCACCACTGACAGCACCATCGTACTTACGATGACGAAGATGAGACTTGGGGACTCAAGAAGCCTTCTCATTTCGCAGGATCCATGTTGTCGAGCAAGGACCTGATCGAATCATCAGGCCGAGAAGTTTTAGATGAGACTTCCTTCAAATGCAGCAAGCTTCCAAGCTGTCGGAATGTTGCGTTACGCTTTCATGGGTGTGTTTGGGCTTTAGGGGCGATGAAACTCGGGGTACGATGTCAAGCTGCATGGCGATTTGTACACAAAGACGGTGTCCTCCACGAGCCCCATCGCATAGTCGAATGAAGGGTCAACTTCTCGCTTGGACTTGCACCCCCCAACATGCACGGGATGGCGGTGGCCCTCCTTCGGCCACATACATGCATCTGACAATCCCGGCTACGTTATTATCTTTCCGGATATGTTTGTCTACAGCATCAGGCATTTGTAGGAGCCGCCACGTGCAAGCTCAGCTTCGAGCGCTAAGACATTACCAGCAAGACATCCATCTCTCTCTCTCTCTCTCTCTCTCTCTCTCTCTCTCTCTCCCCTCACTCCCCCCCCTTCTGTATACACGTATGCTTCATTTGCACACCTACATTGGAGTGCGCGTATATCCGTCCGTACATACATGCATATGTGTGTGTGTACATACTTAAAGATACACATGTGCATATGCATATACATATACATGTCCATAGGCAGGTACATTTACGTACACATGCACTTAAGCATGTGCATATACAGAATACAGATACACAAACATATGCATATATGTCACAACAGTACAGCATTACACCATTACATTGTTACATGACATTACATTACAGTATATTACATACATAGCACATCCATCCATCCACCCACCCATCCATCCATCCGTCCATGCATGCATAGAGATGCTGTTGTACAAACACACATACAAGAACACACACACACACACAGAGATGTATATATGTACATATGTACACATGTTTATGTATAAGCCCGTACGTTACATACATTTGTTTCACGCAGACAGACAGGCAGACAGACAGACAGATAGACAGACATGCACACATGCACATGTGCACACGTGCCCACATGCACAGGCGCACACATTCGGACATGCACACATACACAAACACAAACATGCACGCACGCACAAATACGCGCATACACATGTGTGTGTATATATATATATGTATTATATGTGTATGCACGTACATACACATGCATAAACCTACCGAAATGCATATTATACATATATACATGTGCGCGTGCATATGTCCATACACTCTCGTATTTGTTGATGTATGTGTTTTTGTTTACATTGTGTTGATGGTCACCCCCTCCGCTCAGCCACCCAAAGCCTAGACCTCCTTCGTCGCTGTTCCCACGTACGCATCAATGCCAAGAGACTTCTGTAAACACCCATGATAAATCAGTTTTCCTTCTCTTTGCTGCTCACAGGTCCTAGAAACATTTCCGTGAAGCAAACCCTAAACCGGGATCTGGAAGAGAGGAAACATGAGAAGCACAAACTGATAATCAGAAATGAAGACACAATTTTTCGTTTAAAGAGCATACGACGCTTTGACATTCTAGAGTCCTGAACTGAAGCAGCACGTGTTGGTGGTTCTCAATGGGCTACAAGGCCTGACGGATCCATCGGAGGAGCTGTGTGGCCTCCTAAGATGACAGGCTCCTTTTTTAGACTTAGAGAGACTTCCTTGTTTCGTCGAGGGATAGCAGCGGATAGCAGCCTGCTCCTCTTTTCGTCGAAGAAGGAGAGAAACGACAGTAACACCCCGACGTAGATCTCAGTGTGGGGCATGCGAGCACGCTCAGGCTCCTTTTTTAGACTTAGAGAGACTTCCTTGTTTCGTCGAGGGATAGCAGCTTGCTCCTCTTTTCGTCGAAGAAGGAGAGAAACGACAGTAATACCCCGACGTAGATCTCAGTGTGGGACATGCGAGCACGCTGTCTCTACATGTATATTACAAATTATACACACATATATACATGTATTAGACGGATATTTTTCAATATAGGGTTAAATATACGTGTATGTATATATATATATATATACATATATATATATATATAGAGAGAGAGAGAGAGACACAGTTGTGCACATACAGTTGCACATGTATATCTGTAAGTCGGCATATTCAAAGGTATATGTACATATATATATATATATGCTCACCCCCCCCCCCATGACAGACCGTCGTGGGGAAGGGGAAGGGTGGCGTGCGTCCCCAGGCAGGATCTGTCAACGGATAGGCGACAGACACTTCTCCCAAACTCAATTCCAAAATGTTCTTTTAGATGGTTTGCAATTTTTGGAAATTTCTTCACACGCATGCAGCGCTCCTAGTCCCAATCTTAATCTCAATTCTGCTCTTCGTACCACTATTACTGTTTGTAGATCTTAATTCTTGTATCAGTGTTAGCATTAGTATTAGTTTTGTGGTAGTATTGATATTAGGATGTTTAGTATGAGTAATAGTATTCGAATTAGTATTACTCTTAGTATTAGCATTAAGTATGTGTATTGATGTTAATAGTAGTAGTCGTCGTACTAGCAATAGTTGTCGCACAGCAGTAGTAGTGGTAGCATTAGTATTGGTATTGGTATTAGTATTAGAATGAGTATTAGTATTAGTATTAGTGACTAGTATGAGTATCAGTATTAGTTTTAGTATTAAGTATGTGTACTAGTAGTAGTAGTAGTAGTAGTAGTAGTAGTAGTAGTCGTAGTAGTAGCAGTAGTAGTAGCAGCAGTAGTGGTGACATTAGTATTGGTATGAGTATGAGTATTAGAATTAGTAGCTAGTATTAGTACTAGTATTAGTGTTAGGATTAATATGTATTGTTCTTGGTTCTATTCTTAGTACTGCTGTCATTGTTTGTAGTAGTCCTAATCCTGGTATCAGTGTTCATATGAGTAATAGTTTTGTGGTAGTATTGATACTAGGATGGGTATTGCTTTAGTACCAGTATTGGTATTGGTATTTAGTATTAGTATTAGCATCAGTATTAGTATTAGTATTGAATAAAAGTATACATATCAATAATAGTAAATACGAACTCGTGATTATGTTCGTGCTGGTGTTAGTGCCAGTGTCGATGTCAATGTCAGTAATAGTACTCGTGTTAGTATTAGTATCAGTCTGAATGCTGGTTTTAGTATCTGTTTATTATTCACAGAAGTGCTGGTATTAGTATCAGTATTAGAAATAGTTTTGATATGTGAATATACTGATTGATTCGTACATTTTGAGCTTAATATAATAATACAGTAATGTATTCGAACAATAGTATATTTGCAGAGTTGAAGATTGCGCGAATATATTAGTACGTTGGTGCATGAGTACACTAGTATGTATTGGTGTATCATGATATTCGTATGTTAACGTAGTAGTATATTAGTATATTATTATAGTGGTCTATTACTACATTTACTATATTCGTATTTTCCCTAATAGCTTATAGGTATATCAATATGTTGGCATAATGGCATGTGAACATGTCAGTGTACTTGCCTTTTACAGTATTCGTATATTAGTACACTAGCATATTTAGTGATAATTAGTGTTAATGCCAGTGCCAATGTCGATGTCAGTTTTAATCAGTCTTAATGATGAATTTAACATCAGTGTAATATTCGCGGACGTGCTAGTATGCGTATCAATACTATAATTAGTTTTGATATATTAGTATACTGATAGATTATATAAACAGCTTAGTATACCAACACATTATAATGTATTCGAACAGTAATATGTTTGTATACCTGCATGTTTGTATGCTCTTAGTATATTAATGCATGCGTACGTTCGTGCATGAGTACATTAGTATATTGGTGTGCTATTATCTTCGATTATTAACATATTAGTGTATGAGTATCCTGGTATGCTACTTCATTTATCATATTCGTATATTATCTAACAACTTTTTTGGTATATCCATATGTTAGTATACCATTGCCATGTGTCAGTGTACTTGCATATTACAGTATTCGTGTCTTAGCAAGTTAGCATATCAATACAGTATAATCAGACGTTAACAAGTAGTATATTGTCACGTTGGAAACTGGGTATATGACAAATTAAATACGAATATACTACGTTAGTACACGAATGCATTGATATATTTGCTTTTCAGATAGTGGTATGTATATCTGCGGACATTAATATACGCAGGTGTCTGTTAGTATTGGCATTAATATCAATATGAATCTGACTATTGGTAGGCGTAGGAGTATTAATGTTAATAATAGAATTAGTAATGTGCATATTCGAAATGAAAGCATTAATATACATGTCAACGTTAGTGTTAAAAGCACTACACAGTAATCTTACTTGAGTCATATATAGAGCAGATTCCAGCATTTCCAAAATTTCCAAAATTCTCTCCCCTAACTTTCCGGATTTCCAAAATTTCCAAAATTTCCAAAATAAAAAAAATTTCCAAAATTTCCAAAAAGTCCGCCCTTATGTTTTGGAAAAATCCTGTCGACTAGGTCGGGAAATTTTGGAAATTTTGGAAATTTTGGAAATTTTGGAAATTTTGAAATTTTGGAAATTTTGGAAATTTTAGAAATTTTGGAAATTTTGGAAATTTTGGAAATTTTGGAAATTTTGGAAATCTGGAAAGTTAGGGGAGAGAATTTTGGAAATTTTGGAAATGCTGGAATCTGCTCTATATATGACTCAAGTAAGATTACTGTGTAGTGCTTACTATGTAGTGTGTCAGCACAACCCTCATCCATACACGTGTGCTCTGTAATTCCTTTCTTGGTAGGACACCCGCGCGCCTTATCGTGCTGCTTTCTGGTCTCAGTCTTTTGGTGGTTCCAGGGATACGTTCGGAGGGCTCAAACTCGATACTCCGGAAAAAGCACGAACACGCCGGTGGGAGCGATGTTTTAAAGGGGATGGTCTGTCATGGGGGGGGGGGTGACCATATATATATATATATATATATATATCCGCAGACACACACACACACACACACGCACACACACACACACACACACGCATGTAGAAAACTGCTCTACTTTCGGGTTGATGTGGGCATGTGCGGATGGCCATCCGTGGCTTTGGTCGCAGGAACCGCTTCAAGATCCGCCAGCTTCGCGAGGTGCGGAAGAGCGAGAAGATGGCGGAGGAGACGGAAGCACATGGGTTCTATAGGGGTATAATGAGGGTTCCATAGTCTTACTATAATAATAGTATAGTAATTAAGGTTATGGAACCTTCATTATACCCCTATAGAGCCCTTTTGGTACCGTTATAGTAACCTTAGAGATGTAAAGTTTCTAAGGTTCGGGGTTCCAGGACTGCAAATGTACGATGTTGTTTTCTTGCTGCACTCCTATGACTCGTTCTCACGACTGTACAACAAGAGCCCTCAAGGCATTCATATGACGAGTAAAGAAAGGTGTTGAAATATGAAGTCGAGGACACGGCACGAGGCAGGAGTCAGAACGCCTAAGACACAGAGCACCACAACGGCGAACGCCTGTGTGAATAAGTTCTGATGGGACAAAGGCAACAGCTATCGGATATCACTCAGGGAACCTGCCCTTGACTTGCTGTTGGTAGTCGCTAGCCAAGTCGAAGTAGTGGCCAGGAATACCGCGTGTGGGATGCCATGACGAGCAACCCGGCCACTTGCCTCAAGTTTAGTGGATCTGGTCACCTGGTCCTTTTGAAGTGAGACAAACTTCCAGAGAATTGTTGGCCATCGCCTTCGCTATGGAGCCCGTCGAAAATCATCAGGAACTTCGGAAGATCTTGCAAACTCTCACTTGAGATGTTTCCCACATTTTCATCTCCCGTCGTGTCGGCTGAGGACATCCGGCAGATGCGCCAGCTCTTCTCAGAGGAGTTCTTCCAGCGCTTTGCCATGGCATACCGCAATTACGAGGTGCCGCCATGCTCATTGCTCTCCGTGCACGACCGAATCATGTACCATGAGCAGTTGCAGGCATCTCTTTATGGAGTTGGTTTGCCTCCTAAAAGGGTTAGGGCTTCCCTGTACTTTAAAAAACCCCTAAAGATCGCTAACAAGAAACATGGCGTGTTCAAACCTTTCTTGCATTTCGCCGCAAGACAATCCCTTTCTCAGCAGGCAGGAGAGTGGCTTGCAGCGCGCGACATGCGCCCCGGCTAGGTCGGCTAGGTTTCGTGGATTAGCTCTGAGTGCGTGTTTCTGCAAACATGCGGACCCAGATTCATCGGCCCAATTTGAGGCGTGAATCAGCTGTACGTGTATGAGTCTCGGGAAGGCGACAGAAGCACCGATGATTGAACTTGTCACCAGCATCGCCAACGTTGCAAGTACAGCTCTTCTTACTCGTGTGCTGACTGCAGTGCTACTCGCCGGTGCTGCCGTCGTCGTCGTTCTCACACTTCTAGTCATTGTAGGGGTAGGAGTGGGGTAGAAGCAGCAGCAATGATAATCATAGCAAGAAGACGACAAACTATAAGTAGCAGTAGTAGAAGAAGTAGTAGTAGTAGTAGCAGCAGTAGCAGTAGCAGTAGCAGTGGCAGTGGCAGTGGCAGTGAGAGTAGTAGTAGTAGTAGTAGTAGTAGTAGTAGTAGTAGTAGTAGTAGTAGTAGTAGTAGTAGTAGTAGTAGTATTAGCAGGAGTAGGCCCAGGTATTCGTACTAGTCATTGCACCACCAAGAGGAGCACCGAAGCCTCACCAAGAGCCATTTTCCTGATCATGATCTTAAAAGAAGACCGATTGTTCAGTGCTTTTGCTGCTGCACTATCACAATTATGACGATGTCCACGGCACCACTTGTGCCGTTCCCTTGAATCAGACGGATGAAATGTTCGGACCAACAACATTGCGCTGAAGGTTATGGTTCACAACGGCTGTTCTTCTGATGATGTCGATGATGATTGCGCTTGGCGGCCGTGACGACCATTGTTGTGATAAAGGTGAAACCAATGTCAGTGTTGTCGTTGTTGCCTTCGTCAGCTTCATGACGTGCTTGAGGCTCTTTACCTGCCACTACCAGCCGCAGCACGACATCGGACGACGGCTCGTAACCTCGGAGGCGACGGGATGTAGCTGATTCCATGCGACCATATCATGGAAGAACGGAGAACAGAGACCGCTCTCTCAGCGGAGTGAGACAGAGCTGACTCCAGTGACACCGTAGTCGTCGTCTGCAATGATGTGTAGAGAAATGTCTTCTGACATCGTGGGTGTATCTCAGCAGGCTGATTGGCCTGTTGACGGGCCGACGGCAACTCGGACTAAATCGGGTTCTGATGGGCGCTTCAAGATGACTATCTCCATTCTGAGATCTTTTGTGAGTTGGGCAGAACTTGTTCGGCGCAGGGCCGGCTTCCATGCATTGCGTTGTGAAGCTTCTCGGAATCTCCCATAGTAGCCCGGGCTCTACAGCCCCATGCCCCTTTGCAAACCTACCAACACCTCCCGGGGCTTCGCACAATCAGGTCACTTTGCTCCGCTTCATGCGGCACTGGGACTACGAGGCTCCGAAGGACTGGCTAGGATATCGAGCCTCGGCAAGAATCTCCTCGTCGCCCCGGTGAGTTTGCGCGCGCGCGTGTGTGTGTGTGTGTTTGTGTGCGTATGTGTGTATATGTACATAAACATCTACTAGGACTATACGACGACGTCGACGACTGCTACTGCTACTGCTACTACTGCTGCTGCTGCTTCTGCTACTGCTACTGCTACTGCTACTACGACTACGACTACGATTACGACGACTACTACTTCTGCTTACAGTTCTACTACTACTACTACTACTACTACTACTACTACTACTACTACTACTACTACTACTACTACTACTACTACTACTACTACTACTACTACTCCTACTCCTACTCCTGCTCCTACTCCTACTCCCACTGCTACTGCCACTGACACTGCCACTGCCACTGCCACTGCTACTGCTGCTGAGTAGGCATGTTTACAACCTTGCATATGTCAGATGTATATCTGAATGACTGGCTGAAGGAATGTATGTATGAATGTATGCATTTATCCATGCATGTTATACATATGTCATGTGTTCGTGCGTTTGAACCCACGACTGTGTATAAACAAAACCTGACGTAACCCAACCGTGCTGAACACGAGTGCTTGGGTGAGCAGCACTTCGACGATAAAGGGGGTGTGCTTAAAGTGTTCCTCGAAGTGCGCCAATAGCCAAGGACAGCTCCCTGAGTAGCCTGCGGCAGGACCATGTCAGGACAGCTCATTGCATTCTGTGCAGATTCCGGACTATTCTGCTTCCAAACTGTAGCATGTTTCTCCCTGCAAGTACAGTGCGTATACCAAGTGAAATATTGCCTGCAAGAGATGGTGCAAGGCAAGCGACGGAAGGATCAGTTGAACCCCCGAAAGGGTTGAGCATGTTTACACAAGAGATCTGTACATCGGGGAGCAAGTTCCTGCTGTCTTTGTGGTCCCATGTTCGCGGAAGGCAGACATGTGTGTCCTTTCAGGTGCTGCTGGCAAAAAGACTGCCTGTGGGTAGGGGCTAAGGATCAGGACGACAGGAGGGCTCACACTATCTTCAGGGTCTGCTGTAGATGCTCGGTTGATGTCTGCTCAGCCGAGTGACTATCCGACAGAAGCATCGGCATCCTCCGCCGAATCCCGGAGACTGGACATGGCCCTGTTGCAACCGAGCACCACCTCCATGTCCCTAGGGGTCCAAGACCGAGTTTGATTGGCAATTATCCTTCGAAGGATCCTCACACGGCCCTCGCATCGGACCCCTAGGGTTTTTCTTATCCTGCGGTGGAGTGTAGACGTTTATCCGGCCAGGCTTTGCGGAAGCATTGAGAAATCCTTCTGGGCAGATCTTATGTACGCATATTCACTTGCAGAAATCCAGGCCGGACACGGCCCATAGATGCTTTATACCCTATTCTAATTTAATTATTGAAGCCCCCAAAATTATAGAACCGTACTACAGATCCCTTGTAGACCCCTTTAAGGACCCATGCTTCAAAGTCTGATTCTTTTCGGGGCCCTTTTGCGCAAGCACTCCGGTCCCAGGATGATCCGCTCCCGGATCGATCGATCCCAGTCATTGTGCCATATGCATGTGGTGGATGGATGGATGTGCCATATACATATACATATACGTATTCAGTACATATGTATATATGTATATGTATCTATACATATATATATATATATACTCCCCCCCCCCCCCCCGAAGAACTACCGCGGAGGTGCCGGGATAATGCCAGCAATCCTCGTAGGTTATAGGCTTCTATGGTATGATCCAGGCTTAGTGTTAGACTTTGAGGTTCGGAGGGGGCAGCATATGTATATCGGCAGCCGCCTTCATTCTCAATTGTTGTGACCCTTCCCACAGATACTTCGACATATGATTTCCCAACGATGAAAGTCCTGTCTGTCGGAATACCCAAAGCTCAATATGGGCACGAGCCTTAGCGTAGCCTTCACTACAGTTTCAGATCCAAGCCCCAGCAATACGTATGAATGACCGTAGAGCATTGACTGACTCCTATTCCTAAACAACAATATCCTAAGACTATCCCTGCCATTAGACCTTACATGGGCGCCAATGGTGACAGTAGTCTTCCACATCATGCCCACCCACAAATGGTGCACGCCTTAGTTCGAATGGATTAACATGCTATGTCGACTTGTAACCCCATTAGGTATACATCCCCATATCAACTCTCATGCCGAGCTGTTGGTTAATACAAAGTTAATACAATCACATACATCAGCTAGACAGGTCCCCTGATAGTAATGATATTGCCGTCCCCCCAAGATGGACCTTACTCGCGAACTTAATATTGCCCATAAGCTGTTCCTTGTGCCGGATACTTCCTTCAACTGCAACCCCATAATGGCCATTGGCCTCATCAACAAGTTAGCGCATCCAGATGTAGTTGTGGGTTCCCATTGAAGTCTCCGAAGTTAGAAGCCATGGCATCCCCATATCTAGTTACTGTTAATATTAATACATGTAAGCTAAGTACTGCCCAAACATTTGCTTCAACGGTTGCCGTCATATTCATGCTAATATTAAACTAAGCACGAAACGGATTCCATTAAGAACCGCGATCCTTGCTGTCTTCGCTCTGGTGTTCCTCAAAAGATGGCCCTTGGATTTTTATGGGTTATACCAGCATTTGTTTGTTTACCTCAACATATAGTACATGGCGCCCCCTTTCTCACTGTCGGACTTGCCCGTTTGCGGTATGTACATTTATGTGTCTATATACACATAAATGTAAAGAACCAGGTTAAACCTGTACTAGGTACCAACATGTGACGAAGATCATTAGCTGACTCCTGCTTCCAATCAGCATCAACCCTAACCATATCCTTGTCATTCGATTTTATGTCAATGGTGACCATAATATTCGCCCTGACAGCAGCCCTAAGGCCATCCATGGTAGGCTTAGTACCACACAGAGTTTGACCCCGATATTTAATATTTAATTTGCAACTTCAGTCAGCTAGAAAACATCAAGCCGTAGCTGTGATAACCGGCTCCCTATCGACCCAAAAGTTGACCCGAATATTGTCTTGGTTACTGCCCAGTATATTGTAAAGTATTAATGTTGGCGGAATCGCATCCCAGTAATAAGAATACTTCAAGCTTAAAGGCAGCACTTGTTCGTAACGCGCAAACAAATGAAAGGCACACTCCTCGCTAGAAAACCCTGGTTTTGGAGTGAAAAACAAATTTTTTCCTAGGAAGAAGACGGTTTAGACGTGAAAAACAAATTATTTCCTAGGAAAAAGATGTTTTTGGAGGGGAAAACCAATTTTTTCCTAAGGAAAACCAAAAAACCAAAAAAAACATTTTTCGGGAAACTATACGGCCGAACTCCAAAAGGATGGTTTTTTTGGTTTCCCTAGGAAAAGATGGTTTTGGTGTGAAAACCAACTTTTTCCTAGGAAAAAGATGGTTTTGGTGTGAAAACCAAGTTTTCCCTAGGAAAACGATGGTTTTGGGATGAAAAACCAATTTTTTCCTTGGAAAAAAATGGTTTTGGAGTGAAAAACCAACTTTTTCCTAGGAAAAAGATGGTTTTGGTGTGAAAAACCAACTTTTTCCTAGGGAAAACAAAAAAAACAATCTTTTTGGAGTCCGGCCGTATAGTTTCCCAAAAGATGTTTTTTTTGTTTTTTTGTTTTTCCATAGGAAAAGTTGGTTTTCACACCAAAACCATCTTTTCCCTAGGAAAAAGTTGGTTAGCACAGTGTTGCTGTTAAGCGCGTGCTCACGTCGAAACGTCGAACTTGAACGAGCTGACTGATACGTTCTCTTGAAATGTGAGTTTGATTTCGGTAGTCTTTGAGAAATACTGAATCCGGACTTCACGTCAAACCTTATCGAGTTGACTGACACGTTCTCTTGAAATGTGAAGTTGATTTCGGTAGTCTATGAGAGATACAGAATCCTGACCTTCCGGAAAAGCTGGTTTGGCACGGTAGTTACGATACAAAACGAGGGTAGGTAGTTCTTGGGGGAGGGGGATTAGCATATATATATATATATATATACATATATGTATATATATATATATATATATATATATACGTATATATATATATATATATATACGTATATATATATATATGTCTATGTCTATGTCTATGTATATGGGTATGGATATGGATATGGATATGCATATGCATATGTATATGTATATGTACATGTACATGTATATGTATATGTATATGTATATGCTTATGTATATGTATATGTATATGTATATGTATATACATATGCGTGTAAGAATATGTTTTTTTGTTTTATGCTTACGGTTTCTCGTCATGTCTTAGTTAGTCTTTGCTTACATGCCGTTTGTGCATACATATAGATAAAGAAAGAGAGAGAGAGAGAGAGAGATCTGTGTGTACATATTTTTTGAAAATACACGATAGCAGCGGAATGCTTGATCAACAGCAGAGCTTCGAAAGGGAAACCATGAACAGACGATCAAGGCTTATTTTTCGCGCGAAAGAGCAAATGTTGTACAAGTTCTGTTGCATCTTTAGCTTGCTATGACTTGTGCATGCAGAAAGTGAGGATCTTTGCAGCTCCCCTGAGTCTTCATGCCAACATTTGAAAGGACATGAACAGGCAAGCGAGGATTCCACATCTTTATATGTATACTTATACACATCATATATATGTATATATGCACACACACACACATGTAACCCTTTTTGTTTATGCACGTATATGTAAATATGTTTTGTCTATACTCATGTACAGACACATGCACACAAACGCACCCACACACACACATATATATATATATATATTTTATATATATATATCTAAATATATGTGTGAATGAGTCAGTTAGTCAATGAGCAAACAAAAACTGTACAGCACAGCTCAAGCAATCAATAATTAGCGGTTTAAGACTCGTTCAACTAGCTAAGTATTCAGCTGAGTAAGTCACGGCCTAATTAACTTGTTAGTTCGCTGTTTAGAATGTTGACTGGTATGTGTATGTAAACGGGTATGTATGTATGCATGCAGGTACGGCGACTTGTAGGCATGTAGGCATGTAGGTATGTATGCATACGTGGATGCATGGATGTCTGCACGCATGTATGTACGTGCGTATGATGGATAGCGGCCGTTTAATGATAGCAATGCTGTTGAAGTGCAATCCAAAACCAGGAACCTGTTGATTTGCAGACCAGGTTTGGTGCAACATAGCGGCTGCTATATCGCAACAGGTTAGCTAGTCAATTTGCAAATGGGCTTGGGATTGTAGGTTATTGATACTAGGTAACCCTGAATAAGCACGAGTAATACTGCTATTCCCCTTGGATCCCGGCTTCCCTAGGGTCCGGATCCGTAGCGGTACTACAACAGGAGTCGAAGTACCATCGGATGCACGACCTCAGCCCTGAATCCCAGATCCTGCATGTCTCTATTGTGGTTAGAAGCCTGGCCGGACATTCTGGCTGCCGGAAACTGGCGGCCGGAATGATATCATCCTACCCGTGGTCAGAGTACGTCAGCCCGATGACAAGACGAATGTGCACATAGGGACATGAGAGCACACCTGCAGAAGGGATTTCCGGGATGCATGCTGCATCTAGGGATTTTTGTTGCTCCGAAGTCGTGCAACGCCAAGCCCAAGACTTTCGGAATCCTCGCAGCGAAGTCTTCGACAATGAGAGCAGCCCAAAGAAACAGGTAGTAAAGGGTCGCAGCCTGTCCAGTTCAGTCTCATCGAGCAGTGAAGTGGCTACGGCCCTGAGCGCTGCAGTACTCTGACAGCCAGGGGTGTTAATTTTCAATGCTCTGAAAAGAACAGAGCCCGATGTACCTTGGACGTTATTTCAGGCCTAGGCCTGCGCAACCAGGCTTTGAGGATTCGCTTCAGCTGAGCTATAATTGGGGAAACCCGACCCTAAACCCGAACCGAAACTAAAGTGATGCTGGGGCCTGGGCGATGTTTCACACCAGAACGCCATGTGAATCGGCCTTTCAGAGGAGAAGCTTCTCTAAGTTTAGGCATGCTAACCTGGCGATTTCATATGGGCTCCCTATTGCCATGTTGCGTGTGTGCTACAGTAGGTCTAGTGATGCTAGTGTCCGTCTGGCATTCGGCTTTTGAAATGTCTGAGATATAACCGAGAGGCTTGTCGTGCTGTGCTTCCTAGTGGCAGTTGGCAGATGTTGCCAAAAGTCTTGGGAATCTCTACATTGTCCCAAGCGGGGTTTTGTATTTCGCTTCCTCCATTCATGGCTTTCTTCGAAGAGATTCTACCCTTCATGTCGGGGCCTCTGGAAGGCTATGCCACGTTACCCACCTGACAGGTCGGGCCGCTCAGAATTTGGCAAAAGGAGTTCGTTGAATGATCCTGAGGGGCCAGAGCAGATTGAGCAAAGCTGCTCTTGGAGTGGCATGGCCGAGTTGCTTTCGGAAGCTCTCGTGCGCACATCAGTGTTGCGCAAATGCTCGAGTTGTAGTGAACAAGAAACAGGAGAGAGACGTGGATTAACAAGATGCAGCAGATCCCCACATGTTCAGTTTCGTAAGCCCCAGCAGTTAGCACGGCTGGTTGCATCATTAGGGGCCATCTGGTATACTAGTTCCTCGAATGTCAGCCTAGCCTCCACCACGGCAAAGCAAGCCAACCCTATGTAGCTCAAAACCTATTTCAGTACCAGAGGCTGACGAAGCCGAAGCCGATGCATGGATGTCGTTAGCCATGGCAGCCGCGAGCGACGGCGATGAAATGATGGCGGATGCCGATGACGGATTCCAAGCGACCTAGCGCAGGGATCAGTATGTTTTCAGGATCAGGTGCGAATGACCTGTAGCTTCTGTGCAGTCTAGTGATGGCCGTGAGAGAGTATGCACGATGTGAGCACCTTTGCGAGCCGATCGCCTCGACCAGACCGACGATCGTGATGCGTGGAATCGACTCAGTGGCATTGCACTTGCCTGGTCGCTGGTTCCTCGGAAGCAGGGAAGCAGCGAAGACTTGGTTGCAGGGTCTGGCAAATGACTACGGTTGCTCACCGGTTTCTAACAACTATCCGTAACCACAGACTACAAAATCCTGACTACTGCACCACTCACTACTGTCGACCAGCGGCTATCACACCTGGTCTGGTAGGAGACTTCAGATGCCTGCAGATTGACTGCACCGGCGAAAGTCCAGCTTTGAAGCTCTCATCCAGGCACCAAGCCGTTCCCAAACGGGCTCCACATTCTCAGGGCATCTGAAAGACTGAAAGGCACGCGCCAACCGAGCTTGTGTTAGACTCGTTCAGACTGTTTCTCCGGCAGCTCAGCCGAAGACATTCGGACGTTAAGCCTGAACCCAGGCTTTACAGCATAAAGAAGCAGAAAGCAACTTAGCTCGGATCCAGCCTCGACAGGCAAGTTGCGAGAGAGAAGCCAGTAAGAAGATAGAAATCGAACATCCAGTCGACTAGCGCCAAAGAATTGCTGGACACTGCTTCTTCCTACAGGCCCCTCTGCTGTGCACAACCTTAGACGCACGACGTGCCGACTAAAGACTAGCTCTCACAGAGTCATTATCAGGGGCCAGGAATGCAGTGGAGGTTGTATGCTTTGTGGAAAACCGGGGTGCATTCTGGGGGGCTTGGAAGACTGCACTCGAGGTTTTACGCATTGTGGAGACCTGCGTGCGTTTTCGGAGCTTGAAGAACACAGTGCACTTTGGGGCCTGGAAGAATGCAGCGGAGTTTGTACGCATTAATTGATTCACCCTGGCATCATCTGTTTGGCATTGGGGGGTTGCGCGCCAGGTCACTCTCCAAGCCCAACCAAACTCAAAACTGTCCAAGCGTTGCTTGGCCACACCTTCGCGAATGAATACAGTTTCGAACAACAGCTGCTACTACGACGGCGACGGCGACGACGAAGCGACGTCACAAAACCTCGCCGCTGCCGACTACTTCGACAAATTACTACAACTGCTCTTTCTATTCTTCTTGTGGTCGATGCACGTCGGACATGAAATCCAGACATACTTGCAGTCGCAGTGGCGCAATCGCTGGACAACATCATTATCTTCGTAATCGTCAGCAGCATCATAATCGCCAGCAGCAGCATCTGCAGTATCTTCATTATCAGCATCAGCGACATCATTGCCCGCACAGCAATATCACCGTCCTCTTCCTTGTCAAAAGTGGAAAAAGATTGCCCCCAGCATGGCAATATTTACGGTGTTAACATGTCTCGATGACAAGCAGGGAAAGCAACAACATCTGCGCTCTGCTGTCAGTACAGGTAACCATGTACCTGGGAGCAGAACAGGAAACAAGAGTCATCAATTACAAGAGATGCAAAATCTTATGAGAGGGAGAACATAGCACGTAGCCTATCGACTTGGGACCGAAACTTAGTGAAGCCTTGTCGAAGAAACGAGGCCATTTCCGTGGCCTTAGCAGCCCACTGCTCGCAGGGGGATCGGCGCCAGGACGAGCTTAGACAGCCTTGTTTATATTAGGGCCCTATTATATTCCTATTATACCACTATTACAGGGTGGGGGCCCCTTCTAAGCCCTGTGTCTCTACAGTCTACAGTGCTTACAGGGTTGCTTTAGCCCTGGAGACGGCTGTCTTCAACATCTACGTTTGGTGCTCTCAGGGTATATTCTCTGATGCTCATGCAAAGTGTCACCTGTCGCGTTCAAAGTGGCTGCGCGCCAGGTGTCAGGTTGACCAGTGTCTGCAGATAGCTCAGAAGCAGTAGCAAGGCTCATTACGACATGCAAAAAGCCAAAACACCTGCAGCACTGTCTTTCAGGACAAGCGGCTGCGACTTCAGCAGTTTCAAGGCATGGAACCGTCGAACAGCTGCTCCCAAACCGGCAAGAAAGCCCGGAACCGAAAGCGCTCCTACCGATGCAAAGCCAGGTTGGCAGTTTCTGATGTGCTGCATAATCATCTGGCACCATTACTGCAACCCGACATGAGTTTGAGTTTTCATGTACAAACTAAGCTGCGATTGAAGACAGGAAGGCTGCACACAGATGTCAGATGATGTCAGAGGATCAAGATCACTGTTGTTTCAGTCTTGACGTACCTTCAACGTTGCTGCACATGTGGAGAGCAGGGGATAGCAGACAGGTTTCAGTTTCAGGCCCCGACACTCTAAACTCCATCTGGCGCACCCAGGCAACCCTAGTATCTTCTCGCAAGTGGCATATTGCTCCGTGACGTTCTTCGTCTTCTTTTCGGGCGTCGTGACGCAGTACGCATATGCAGTGCCTTTGAAACATCAGAAAAAAAGGATTGGGAGGGTCGATGTGACATACGGTAGAAATTCTGTCATCTCCATCGTGCTGGTGTGCTGGGACGATGTGCGTTCTGCGCTGATTTCTGAACGGCTCTGAATCCAAGGACAAGATGTCTGGTGTCAAAGCACACCTGCTTGCGTTTTACTTGCGACGAATCGCTCGAGTTCTTCCGATGTATTACGGCACCTCGTCCACGACTCTACGACATCCTCCCTGAAGAATGGGTGACTGGCGGGGAGCCTGTTACCTTCAAGCTTGGCATTGTTCACGTCTGCAAGGAGGTTTCCATGCAGTAGCAAAGTAGGTCGACTGGTACGGGTATCTCATGCGAGGAAGATGAACCACGCCTAAGTCGGCGATGTGGAAGGATCATGTGTCAAAAGAATGCAAAGATCGCTTTCTTGGGATTCCCAGGAATTCACTTCCTGGTGTTGGTTTTGTCGGGCAAATCCCTGGCGACCGACTTTCAGGACTCCTGTGGCCCATTTTGACGCTACCAGCAGGGTTTCGGGTAGGCTGCGATGTTCCAAGCCTTTTTGCCGAGGACTCGGTCTTGATGATCTGCACTTGGCACGGGTCTTCTCCTGCCACAAATTTTCCTGCATGGACGGTCTGCGCGCTGGTGTGGCGCCTGATCCCGAACAGATCGAGGACTTTTTGCACGACTTTCTGCAGAGTTGAATGTTGTGGCTCCAGGTGCAGGTGCTCATGCAAAGAGGTTCATTCTCGTGGCTTCCGGTTGGACGTGAAGAAGTTGCTTCATCTCCACGAAATTGAGACACGACAAACTGCTGAAGCGTCTGAATGCTTCCGACACCCAACACTCCCCTGTGAATCGACCCCAATACGCCCCAATCGAAAATGTTGATGTTCAACAAAATTCGGACTTGGACAACGGACGCCTGCAACATCGGAAGGTGGTTCAAGCAAATTGGGACGAACATCAATTTTGGGAGTTCTCCGGATTCCTGTAGTACGCCCATCTTGAATTTACTGGCCCTGGCCGCCGGGTTCCCAGATGCAGAAACGTTGAACATAACTATACTAAGACATGGTATTATAAAACAATACAGTAGAATAAAGTATAGTATACCAAAGCATAGTGTAGTGTATATAAATATAGTGTAATGTAATCTGATATTACAATAAATAAGCGGAATTTGTAATTCCGAGCATTGTGGCAGTCCACCTTACGGGGCCCCTCAACATATCAGTCCGTAGATGACAAGTAGTCCTTAACCCTCAATGCTTCGTGCGGTGCAGGCCGCCGTCATGCCCGCATGGGGTCAAGGGGGTTTGACACAGAGTCTTGATCAAACACCGAAGAATCATACCTGTAAGGCATCGGTATGGCTGTAAAAGTGGTTGTCTGTCGACGTGAGCACTACATGTCTACAGCAAGCCATGGGACACATAGCCTGGATCACGGCATCACCGGCCCCAAATAATTACAGACATAATTAGATACAGTAGAATATACCGGAAGAACTATAGCAGTTCTTTCGGAACGTCGTGAGCTGTGTCTCCCTGGTTCCAAGCCGAAGCTTCAAGGTGCTGGTTGTTTGCTCCACTCTCTTCCCGCCTCCTGCGCTGCATGCGACAGCGTGGCTTGGCTGCGCTTTCATCTCAGCTTTATGGTTGGTGAGTCGACTCATACGACAGGTTGCGGCCCCTCATGGTACCCGGTTGTGAGTTGACCATTCATCCCGTCGCTCTTGTCACAGAATGCTTGAACAGCGACGGCGGGGACAGCTGATGCCGTTCAAGCCTTGAGGTTACGGAAGCAGCGCGCACTACCCGATGGCTCTTTGGAGCTGTTTGATGGCGCTCGGCTTCTGCGATGAAGTGCAGCCTGGCACATTGCAGCTGTTTTCAAACCAAGGTTTGCTGGAGATCTTGAAAATCATTCAGCCCCCTTCCATGATGTGACATGAGTCATCGGGAGCTTTGCTTCGTTATGAACGAGAGGCCCAGTCACCAAGCCTTTGTGAAGACGACCTGACAAGCAAGACTTGTTTCGGTACGGGGTTTTCGGTGCCAGTTCTGTCGAACCAATTCCGACTCAGTTTTGTGCTAACTTGCAGGATGTTTCAGACTCAGTGCTTCACCCAACATTGTTATAGAATTATAGAGCTTCCTGCGTCCCAAAGCCGGTGCTCCAGGTGGGCTCGCCTTGCTCCTCGCAATGCAATTGGACAGTCTTGCTAAGATCACGAAGTACTGCAAAGCCTCCGATCGTGACCTGGACTTTCCTCTGAAAGCAGCTCTAGGAGTTCAGGCTGACTACTCCTAGGACCGCTACGGGTACCGGTACGGCTACGGTTAGACACTGATAACAGCTGCCAGCTGTTACGGTTCAACTCTGGTTCAGCCGGCTCATGTTCTAGCATTCTAGCATCCCTGCTCCTTGCGGAAGTCCGTACCCCTACACTCCCGCAGGAAGCAGAGCATAGCGAGAGAGCGAGAGAAGGAGACAGAAAGACAGAGACAGAGATAGAGATAGACAGATAGACAGATAGAGACACACACACACTTGTGCAAAACAATGTGTGTGTGTGTATATATATATATATATATGCATGTCTATATATTGATACACACATACACAAACACGCTTCTCTGAATAATCCCGTTGGGGAAGGCAGGTCGACACACACGGCTTGCCTCAAGTTGGGGGATCGCCAGCTGCTGCGCCGAGCCAAGGGAGACTCCAACGAATTCAAGCACATGCAGTTTCAGCGAAACCATTGGACCAACACGGCTTTCTGCGCGTGCGCACGCACGCACACGACAGTAGATTCCTGTCATCTCACGGATGCCGAAGATGGGCTGATCGGTTTGCCAGCAGCGGCAGTTGGCAAGGATCTTGGTAGCCCTAGCCGTGCCTGATGTTCACAAGGAATACCGACAAAATGAATACATGGACCTGGACTACTGGTTCTATGCCGCTTGTTAGCAAGGTCCTTTCTCGACTTATCCATTGCAGCAAACCGAACTTGGAAGGCACCAGGTTTTGCAGAAGTAAGGCCGCTGCCTTTCAGGTGAACCGCTGAATCCATGTCTGCATACCCCGAGGAGACAAGGCACAACGTCTTCATATTCTGCTTGGGTATGGGCGTGGCAGAGGCTGCAGATGCTTGCTTGGGTGAGTATCCCAGACATCAGCTTGCATGTTACCGTATACAGCTAGAAGTATGGTCTGGCCACTGGCATTTGGCATTTTGGATGAGGAACTTGAAATAGCGAACGAGGAAGCTGAGCCATGCAAAGGTGATAAGACTCATAGCCTGGTACATACAAGTGCGCAGCAGTGTCAACTATGAAGCCAGCTGCCTGTCTTGCTGCAGTTGGCCCTGCACCTGCCCGATGCACCGCACATGGCATGGTTTTGGCCCATCTGCTGCGACGTGACCTTGTCCCTTATCCGGAGAGAAAGGCTTGTATGACAACATAATCATCCAAAACCTTGCCAACACTGCATGCTTTCACTTAAACACAACCCGGGGCTTCGAGTCCTAGAGCCAATGCACCGCATCCAACAAACAGAAGAAGTGAACAAGTCGAGGGATTACCACAAGGTCGCTATGCCGCGGTGCCATGTCCAACAAAAAAAACATGTCCGCTCACGGGGACAGCTGGAGCATGATACAGAGTCTGCAGGCCTCCGACCCTTGCCTTGACCCTTGTTTTGCTAATCATAATCCTTATAGCAACCCGTACAGTAAGACTTAGACTCCAAAGCCATCTGGCCCGTGAACCCTGAATTCCTCATCCCTCTCAATCCAAAATCCTTGATATTGAAAAATCATCCAAAGCCCTGAAGGATAGAGTTCCAATATTAAAGCCCTTTACTGCCTTAAGTTGTGAGGCTTATGACCCTGGCACTGACGGCCTCCTGGAAGCATGGCTGGCCTACCTGGGGCAGCAGCTATTGGAGTGGCTCTTTCGCGCCTGGGATGCGATAACTTTGTCATAGTTGGGCAACATTTTGCATGTTTATGGGTCCTTGAACCCAATAAGGAATATAAATGTACATGTTTAATCCTATCCCAACAATGAACTAGATAATTAGATAAGCAGTTCAGGGTTTTGGGATTCAGAGTTCGGCTCTACTCGGCTTTTGAGGCTCAAGCTGCGGGATTCAGGGATGTTGGCTCTATCACTCGAATAAAACTGGCAGGACCGCAAGTGAGGGCAAGAAGACGGCCATGAAACTAATGACAGCCATGGTGTTACTGCCGCCCCCATTGTTAACACGGTTGCTCCTGCTGCTGCTGCTGCCCCTGCTACCACCGTACTAGTACAGCGACAGCGCCGGTCCAGAAACAGTTAATTTTTCGTGAGGGGGGGGCTCGATTTCTTGTTTTTGAAGCGCACGTTCTTCTGCAAAAAAAACGTTGCGGGATTTGAGGGTACCCTGGATTTCTTAACCCAAAGTTCTTAATTTGCAACTGCAGCAATTAAAAAGCAAGAACAAGAAATGAGAGCACAGCAGGGTTCGAGTTCGAGCCCGCAGCACTTTCCATTCCAGCTCATGTGCTTATCCACTCGGGCGCGGCAGCCGCCAGACTCCTGAAACGCCACTATATTCATCCCACTTCTTACCCAGCTTGTAAGCAGCCCTTACCAGAACCCCCCCCCCAAAAAATAAGAAATCACAGCCTCCATAGCCCTCCAAAGCTGTTGTTAAGGCCTTATTAAGCCCTTATTAGTAGCCCAGAATCCACAAAAATCAGAACTGGAGCCCTTCGTTTTCTTAAACGAGCCCCTCAATTTCTTACTTTGGTCTGTTACTGCTACTACTACTGCCACTTCGGAATAGAAGATGCTGATGGTCCGATGATTCCGTGAAAATGAACATGATGACCGTCGTCACCAGCATCCCAGCATGTCACCACCAGCAAATCACAACAGTAGTCAGTAGCCATGCCAAGAGGAGGGCAAATGACAGCAGAAGCCACAGCACCGATGGCACCGACCAGTCAGGAAGGATCGTGACTATTCATTGAATCGAATGCGAAGGTGACATTGCTATGCTGACCGGAGTAGTGATAGTGACTACCTGCAGGCTGTGAAGAGTAGTTCCACCCGTCCCCCACAGAGAACCGCGACTCGTGGATCACTCATCACCGTTTACTCACCATACGCGATGCTGTAGTTTGCTCACAATTGTCGCAATCAGCCGGCATCCCCGATTCGCAATTTGCCCCGCGATTCATGTCCCAACAATGCCCATCACTGCTCAAAGACAACCATCGGTCCTGCGCCGTCACTGTTGCGTGCACTGACCTCTACTTCGCCAAAGCATACTCATTCTTGGCTTAGGTCCTTGGCTTTTATTCTTACGGCAGAAGCACATGCGGTAAACTCGTAGTTCATCCTGCTTGCCATAGTCATCTTCATCATCCATCATCACCATTGTATTGCTACAATCGTCATCATAAATACAACCACCAGGTTTCTGAAATATAGAGTTCTCTTGCGTCGCTCTTGACCACACACCTTCCGAGAAGACATCCGAGGCACCGGTGACCGTTTGGGTTCTGACGTCAACCCTGGGCCGCTTGCAGATGTCCGTCTTGTACTATAGCTATAGTGGGGACTATAAAATACTATAAACGGAGACTGGATATCTACACGGGAGGGCGGAAGGCTTCACGAACTCCCGAATCTCACTCAGCCCCGTCCACTAAAAGGCTTGCACGTCTAGCTCTTGAGTCTTGTCCACCTGCAAAGTACCGGAGCCATACTACAAACGCAATTCGTTTGCTCGTCCTTGTTGCTACTTGAAGCTGCAACAGGACAATTCTTGGTTGCTCCCTGTTGCTACAAACCTAGGGACCCCAGAACCCTTGCTGTTCAAGTGTTTCGAGCTATCATGGAACACAAGATTATCCCAAAGTTATACCGCGGACAGCTTCCATCAATGTGAGGTCTGAATACGTAGAGTTTTCGGTGAACCATGCAACTACTTGTAGCAATCGCGCAGACATAAGATGATCACGTCTTCCGTCTCCTTTATTGGGGTTTAGAGTCTATGGTACCCGAATCATAGAAACCCAGCTTCCTTCAGCCCCCAGTTACTGCGCTGGCATCAGATCACATCAGATGCCCAAGCCTAAGCCTTAAATTCTCTCAGACGCAGTGGCCGGACATGATCCGAGGTCACCAATCGCTTTTGAATCGAATCTGCAGTCATCGACGCTCGATTTGTAGTTTCGAGCTGAGTAACTAACGGCCATTGGGTCGTTCATGGGTGGGTTTAGGCTTTAGGATAGGTTCGCGAGGGTGTGCACGGAATCAGCCGGGCTGCTACATTTGCAAGTCCACCATGCTGGAACTCGGGTGACTCTTTCTTCGCGGTGCTCCGACCTTCTGTTTGCATCGAGCGTTTCCAAGATGCCGTAGTCAGGTTTTGCCCTTGCCTTGCACGCATGTCAACGTCACGTGTAGCCCCGGGCACAGACGGAGGAATTCTGCACAACTTGGGGGAGTATTCCATGCAGATCTACCTGCTTGCAAACCCCCTCCACGACTTGCTGCCAGTCGAAATAGAGCCGAGCCTCGGCACACTTAGTGCTTTGGCTGTGTCGTTGAGAAGTTTAGGGCCTGTCAGAAGTCTATCGAGTGTGGATGTTCATGCCGGGCTGACGCAGCACTATCCCCTGGAAGACTTGCAATGCGATGCCAGTCGAAATAGTAGCACTAAGTACACAGATAGGAGTACTAGCATTTTTGCTAGCAGTGACTCGTACTTGGCCAAGTCGTTCTCCCAAGTTTCGTCGATCAGTTAGGCCGGGAGTTCGTGTCCGTGTTTATTTGTGCAAGCAAGAAGCTCCTATCAAATCGCCCTCTGTCCCACAAACCCCGGCGAGAGAGCACGACCGGCATAGCAGACGCGTCATGCTGAAGTTGTGGGCATGATGTGTGTCAACTGGGATTTCTATTCCCATGTGCCCACGGCAATGCAAGGATCCTGCTTTATGCCGTCATTGTTACGATCTCGGTGGCCGTTGCCGATGTCGCCGAGAGACGGTGGTCAGAGACTGCCGCAGCAATGTTTTGGATTTTTCAGGTCCTTAGAAACAATGTGGAGGATGGCAAACTACACGAACGTCATTATTTGTCAGAGTTGTACTACAGGCACCGAGGACAATGATGCAAACGCAAGACCCAAGAGAAGTGTTGTACTATGTTGTACTCCTGCCAGCATGCATCGTCGCAAGACAAGCAACTACTTCCAGCTTAGTTTCACAAGCGTACATATAGCAGCCAGCAATGCAAGCGCATTCACAACAGCAGTGACAGAAAGCTGATCCACAGTCTGTTGCGTTTGCTGATGGTGGTGGGGATCATAGGGGTTGTGTTCACACGTTGTTGTCTTTCGGGCTTGTCTACTGCTGTTGTTACTGGTGGCTGTGGGGGTCATGGCCTGTTGAGCTTCTAAGGAGTTCCTGAAGAAAGCTACAGACAAGCTCCAGCATGGTGCTGCAGGCCATGTGTTCATTGTCTGGGAAGAAGGTTCAAGCAGTGTAGCTTTCATCCCGCTGTGAACTGTCTGGGTTCGCATGATGCTGTTGACTCAATATGGCGAGCTTGTAATGCTCACTAGATGTTGTAAGAGTCACACAGTGGCAACTCATATTCCAGAGTGTGTACCAGTTGCGAGTTGCAGCACCACAACGATGATGCTGGTAATGGTCATCGTCATTGATGAAGTCGTGCTTTAGAATCGCCCCCACCACCAGCACCATTGCCGTCATAGTTGTGGTGTCCGTGCCACCCAACCATCATCCGCACGTTTTCCATCGCAATCGTCAGATCACATTTTCTCCAGCAACGTCATCACGGCACTCGCAATACCAGCTCAAAGAACACCCACCAACATCATCAGGGCACTCGCAAGAACAGCTTTGAGAACACCCACCATTAATGTAATGATGACCACCATGGACCATGATCACTACCCACGGCTCAGAGTCAGCGTCACTCGTCACCACAGCGCTTTGCCATCATAATCATCACGTCATCATCCTCATCGTCGTCATCATCATCAGCAGCAGCAGCAACATACAGCAACCGCAGCAACATGATCATCGCAATCATTGAGAGCTCCTGGCCATCATCAGGCCAGAAACCAAGAGCTGCCTGAGGTAAGACCTACCGCATTCCCGCCATGATTCCCCTGAGCCTTGCTTTTTCCACGGGAGGTCCAAGCCAAGGCCTCGAGGACGGCATTCTCCTAGCCCGGGGCGCTCCGGGGCTCTTAGAGAGCGCAAAGTGATCTGAAAGAAAAATCAAAAAAGGGGGGATGCGATGAAGAGCATGATATGATGTGATATATATATATATATATATATATATATATATATATAGGGGTTTCGGTGTTAGCTTGTGTTTCGAACATTTTACTTGTCGGTGCAGGGTCTCGATCATTCCAAGTGTGGCACGGCTTTCCATTGGTTCCCGGGTACCTCACTCGCCCGGTGATGCAGCATGGCATGTGGTCGCGATTTAACAGCAGAGGCTCAACAGCATATACCTGCTTGCAGCAGACGTGCGGACAGAAATCCGGCGCATTGAAAAGAAGTGAGTGTAGCAGAGCCGCAGTCAAAAGCTCAATTGCGGTAGGATGGCCGTGCGCCAGAAACTTATGGATGGACCTCGGCCACACACACACACACAGGGTCCGAACAGCTCAACAAGCAAAGGTTTAAAGCTCTTGATCCAAGCGTGCAGCTCTAGAACGGTTCCCATGGCGAGCAATGGTGCCTCCACGCAGCCAGGGTTTGTTCCTGGCCCTGTGCATGACATGCGCCTCAGCACACAGGCAGCGGGCCCAGTCCGAACTGAACCTGATAGTTTGGTGTTGCATTGACAGCCATAGGTCTCGGTAGCTGTTCGTCGCTAGTTCAGCATATCCAAGAATGCCATCGCAACAGCTTGCAAAGGATTCATTGTTGACAGCAACCACCATCCGCTCCAGACCTGCTATCACCCTGGGAAGGTCAGATTTCATACTCAGAGAGTGTCAAAAGCTGTGAATCCAAGCGCTGCCCTCCGTTTACTTCGTCATCTTGAGGTTCCAATGTAATGCAGAAGATGACTAACGAGAGCATTGTCTAAAGGAGCAATCAGAACATCAGCGTAGTTGCCGCGTCGCACAGAGACTGTGACATAAGCTGCATGTCCTAGTTTTCAGTATTGTGGGTTTGAAACCTGCTACAATAACCCTTGTGGCGAAGAGCATCGACAGATAGGAGGATCAGGTAACCTCCCAGAGCCGCCTTACCACAAAGAGTCGTGCAACGGGGGACCATAGATGCAAGCTTGATGACTGTGCTGGCTCGAGGACCAGTTTGTAGGAAGCTGTCTGTTAGGTTGCGTGCATTTCGTACAGGCTTTGCTTGATGTCCAAAGCCCTCTCCCATGCATACCACATCAACTGCACGCATACTCGCCGAAGTCCAGCATACTCCCACCATACCCGTAACCCCCAGCTTGGCGACCAGTAGATGCTCTAGCTTTGCCCGTGCCACCAGCCGGCCAAAGACAGCATCGCCATGGCAGGCTTGCTCGAAGTCGTACAGGCATAAGGTCATGTTGACTGCTCGTTTGTGGTGTGCATGGTTTGTTGCAGGTTCGAGAAAATGACTTAGACCCGGACACTGAGTAGTGGCTATTCCTGTTCTTGGGCAGAGCCGGGTCATGGAAATAGTCACAGTCTCATGCGACGGACAACGGACGATTTCTGTGCCATCCTCTAGACAGTAGGTTGAGCTGCTGGATGAAGACCGTGCAATGCTGATGGCAACTTCGGCGAACTAGGAAGTGCGTTGTGACACAGTACGCAGTATCTACAAACAGAACTTTCAGCGGAGCGGTTTTAATGGCAACATCTCGCGACCTCGAAGAGAATGAGCAGGGCTGCCAGACCGGAGTCCGAATTCAACGGAATCGTTGCTGCTGTAGCGTTGCAGCATCGTCCCCTTCATGCATTTTAACAACATCAGTACCACCGCGGTTCTCTACTTTGTCGGAGCAGCTTGGTGGGTTCTGGCAGGTGCAGGCGCTCTTGTGGAGAAGGACCGCAACCTTGGGTTTGCCGAACCTTGTACGTACTGTACGGAGCCTCCAAAAGCAATCGAAAAACCGAAGCGAAAGCCATGCGACTCCCACCTCCCATGCTGCCGGCGAGCAAAGGGGAGGGCGCTCCGAAGAAAGGCAAGTAAATCTTTGCCCCGCACCCGCTTGCCAGAATTCGGAGTAGATCAGATGCTTTGGTATGTTCATGTGCTTGCTTGCCGCTCGCAGCAAGAATTAACCATGCTACGAGATGCTATCAAACTGCGCTTGGATGAGTTAGGGATGTCATATCCGAACGAAGCATGCAGCTACTCTCCACCACTGCACGTCTCAGTCTTTGCTAGGACTGTTTAGTATTCAGCAAGAGGTCAGTCAAACAACTACAAAGGCATCCGGCCTCCCGGCTGCACCCCGAAGCCTCGTGGGCGCGATCTCCGCCCCATCCCATCCTCCGATCAAGAGAAGCGAACCCCGCAGGAGGCCGAGCAGGCCTTGGACATCTCGCAGATCGACCCTCGCCTTCTCCAGGCCTTCGAAGCTTAGAAGATGTGCAAGGGTTCTGTAAATCCAGTAGTGCTAGGCTGTAAATGCCGATCGCCGCAAGCAGCAGTCAATGCCTTGTTCGTCCTTGCTTGTCTCTGTTCTGCTTCAGCTGAGATGCGCCACGACATGCATGCATGCATGTGGTGAGAGCACCCATGTGATGAGCGCACTCTTGCTTTCAGTGCATTTCTTGGCCTGACCCAGCCCAACCACGAGCAACGACCACGCCACCGGCGCAACCTTTTGGTCGGAGCATTCATGGCGCAACCATGATGACGTGCATGCTACCAGGGTTCCTACTTTCCAAAATCCAATCTTCTCCATTGCCCACAGTCTTTGAACTTCTCACTTCCTAGCCATGGCTTCAAAGGCCTCTCGCACCCCCTGGCTCACCTCCTCACTTCTGGCTGGTGTGTGAGAGTGAGTGTGCACAGTTTTTGCAGCTGTATTTCCTCTATCCACCTGCATACATACATATAGATGTTGTGCGGTGTTGCATATGCAGAATGAAGTTAGAATTTAGCAATAGTCAGCAATCAAGAAACAAGTGTCTCCAAGACAGTTTTAGCCCACCAAGTCCGATGCAGTCACGATGCTGCCGGGTGCCAGAAACGCCGGCTCCGCTCTGAACTCTGTAGCATTCGCGTTCACGTGCCGATGCCAGGTGGAGGAGTTTGTCGACAAGCTGCGGAAGAAGGCAACCGGCGAGCTGTTCCGGTGTGGCCCACACAGAGCTACTTACGGTTTGGGGGCAATATCCTGTCTTTGGAACCGGCTTCTAACGAGGTGTTTGGCCCGGCCTGCCCTGATCTTCATTCCATGTCAGGGGAACTTCCCTGTGACACATCCGACGTTGCAGGTGCTCATGTGGGAAGTTGTGGCTTGGCAGTACCAAAAATTCTGTCGTGCAAAATGCAAGTAATAAGTTGGTAAGAGCCGGTGTATTGTCAAGACGGGCCAGAAACCGACGTGATTTTGTGCCGCAGGGACTACCGTGACTACCGTTTGTGCAGATCCCGTCATGACCTTGGTAACGTATTGGGCAGTTTGCGATGGGAGCAGCGATTGATAAAATAGTACTCTGCAAGGCAGTTTCTCGAAGAGGAAAAAGGAAGGGGGAGAACAATCCAGGACCTGTTGTGAGAAGCTTTGGCCTCAGATGCTTGGACTGGACTTGGAAGATTTCTCCTCAAACATCGAGCATGGGGTTCGTCTGTTGCCGACTATACGAGATGGGTGAAGAGCTGAACTCATGCAGTGTAGTGCTTGTCCGGAAAGTACACCGTGTTGCACATGGTGCATCTATATTGGATTCGCCGCATGCAGCGAAGCCTCAAAACCAGCAAGTGAACACTGATACCAGTTAGCTTGAAACAGTCTTGATATCTTTGGGCATCAAAGGGTCCAACTCCGTCTAGGCTTCAGCAGCGCTGTGACCCGAAAGCAGCAAGATGTTTACCAAGCGCCTGGGGTGCAAACTGCAAAAGTGCTGTGCCAAGTGCCCATGATGACCAGGTTGGCGGTGCGCGAGAGGGTGGCGTCGTCGTCAGGGAGGGGGCAAGTCACACGACTGCAAATACTTGTGGTTGGACAAGAATTTTCATTGTCATTGTCGCAAGTATTCCACGAATTTGCTTCGGAACATTGGACTTGTATTCCCATGGCTGTTTGATCCTTTCCTCTCCATCCCAGGGATACACGAAGCGTTGGGTTCAGCCTTCTGTCTAAAGGTCAGTCACTGCCACAGTCCGAAGGAGTAGGCTGTAAGGGAGGACCGTGACAAGACCAAAGCGTTCCGTCAGTCCCGGCTTGAGGCTTGCAGTCTCCAGAGCAGCTCGGATAAACTCCGCCGGTGTGGACTTCAATTTGCTCATGTGGCGGTTACTGCAAGCATCGGCGAATTTCCCCTGACAAGCGTGCACATGCGTGCACAGCTCGATGCGCTACGTCGCTACTTGCAACAGCTGTGTGCCGAGGATGCGCCAACGTCTCGCGACTGGCTCGATAGTCCGCGAAATTGCGGAAAAGGGCGACCGGCTCTGCACTTCGGCTGCACCGGATGTTATTCTCGACCATATGGGCTTATCAGCCTCGATGTTTGCAAAGGTGTATGTACACACAGACAGGCTTTTCTTTCTTTTGTCTTTCTGCGGGCTTGCTTCTACTGTATGTGTCTGTCCTTGCTGAATGCATGGTGCAAACCCGCTCCCAAAAGGCTTCAGGACGACGAACGGCTTTCAGCTGCACCGGGGTGAAGGAACAGCCGCGCGAAACCTCGGACCCTCGAGCTAAAGCCTTGCCTTCTCTAAACAGCTGCTGATTTCCTTTGCCCCAAGAACCCTGAGAGGCTATCAGCTTCTCTCCGGCTTCGGACCACCTGCAGGCGTCGGGTTGAGCTTCTATGTTGGGCTGTACTTCGGTGCTTGGGCTGCAGTCTGGCTCAATGCTGCGAGACTGCAAATGTGATCCTGCGCAACAAGTTCTGCAAAGACCTCCACGTACCATTCAAGAAGCTGGGGAAGTGTTTGCCACCGGGTCTGATCTCTACGTCGTAGGTCCACAAGAGCTAAGTGGGCCAGTAATCTAATCCAAAATGATCTCAACAAAAATCTCAGAATTCCTCATGCGACATTGGTGCGTTCGCATAGTCAGCGGCCTGCACAGGCTGGGTTAGCATCAAGGCCAGCCGGCTTTTGCACTTGGAGCTGCTGGTCTGCGTGTGACAGGCTTTAGGTCCATGTAGGCTTTAGGATAATTATGATCATGTAGTTGTAATGAGTGCAGCAGCAGTGTGCAAGAGCAAACAGGTCGCGAAGGCACAGTCCTCAAATGTTTGCACGAATGAGGTAGTCGAAGCGGGGCCCAGGTGGCCTCAGCCCCAACATACCTTTAGTCTTCAGTCCTGGCATGAGTCGGCAACAGACATTGTAGCCCTGAGCCACTTCATCAGCTTTGCTGGTGGCGGCCTTTGCTCCAGACCGGCTTCAAAGAAGCCTGGGGTGGGGGCAAGGTGGATGCACAGCCGACACGGGATGTCATGCTTTTTGTTCCTTAGTGCTGTAGCTGTAGTCCTTCGCCTCCGTAAGAAACATCACATACTGGTAGCAGGCGTATCTAGGCGCCGAAGAGGCTGCAGATGCATTTGAAACTTGTCCTCTGGCAGGTGAGGCGGACGGAGATGCTGGCTTCAGTGTCGAAGCGGCTCAGCTGACAGAAATCCACGGTTGAACAGATAGGAGCTTCCCAAACAGGCTGAAGCTGCATCTTCCCGACAAGTGAAGGTCTCTTGTGCAGTCACACGTGGGCCTATGTAGGTAAAGAAGGCGAGAAAAGTGTTCACACAGCCTAAACCCACAGACTCCAGAGGTTTATCCAGACTTCAAGGCCGCAGAACTCCGAAGCCCGACCTCAGAAACTCCGAAGCTGCGAATCCCGCCAAGTCAGAAAAACCGGAAATCCCAAACTGGAAGCCTGATTCTCAAAGCCCCAGCCCGAATTCCCATACCTCCGCATGAGCCCAAGCCCTGGAGGGCAGCACACGAAAAAGCACACACCCGCAACAAGATGAACAAATTTCAGAACCGATAGCAATGACTGTGAGACTAACAATGAATATGGGAAGCACACAGAAGTTTGTGCGCAGCAGAACTAGCAACATACCATGAGCAATTTACGTACATGTATATGGTACATATGCTGGTGTATACCTATATCTATAAGTATAGATATAGGAGTGGATGGACATAGATAGATAGATAATCTCATGTTTACCCGGCAAAAACGTGGTTTATGCCTTCTCAGCATCAGAACCTCATACACCCTAAACCCTAAACCCTAAAAACCGTCCTTGAGGAGGCCAGAGCTCACTCAGCAAGCCGATCTGCTCCTTCGGCGCCTGGCGCGGCTGCCTCGGCCGCTGCAGAATGCGACTCTGCGTGTCACAGGGGAGCAGAAAGGAAATGGGGGTATGTACCCTTAGTATAACAATTATATACCCATTATATAGCCCATAGGGGTCCTCATTGGGGATCCCAGAATGTAGGCATCAAGAAGGGAACGAATCATTTTGCAAGTAAAGATGAACCTTGCTCTCACTTTCAGAACCTGTTTCCATCACATAGATGCGGCCTTAAATCGTTGAAACAGGAACCTCAAAAGTTGTGTTTATTCGTCTTTAGTACTTTCTATGTGCTGGAGCGTAACATGGCCCAAGACTCCGATCGAATGACTGGATTTACCCTGCATGCAGCTTGCCTGGTGTTGAGGTTTCTGGATGCGGGAAAGCCATTGGGGAGTTAAGGGTTTATGTGGACGTTAAGGAGGCAAGGAGCTAAGCTTGTCGCATGGCTTTATCTCCGGTCGGGCGAGCAAAGATTCTGACGTGGGGCGTCAACTCCCTCCTTTTCAGGTTGACATGATCTATGGTTGGGTTTCCGGCCTTCTGATCTAGACCTCCCCCCTCATCCATACCAACATGCGCACAGGGGGGCTGGGCTGAAATGCAGGCGACCTCCTTCCAGGTGAAGTTGTCCAATGCCATCACCGCAACATGGCACTCAGACGGGACAAAACCGTAAGAAGCTGCATCAGTTGAAAAGTGCAAATCAATCCAATCTGCACCCGACACGCAAGAATCCGTATAGAATGCATGGGTGTGCACCAAGCACTTGTCGAGCTGGCAGCACATAGAAGCTCCGAAGCGCCGGAGCTTGCTGGCGTACACTCACGCGGAATGTCGCGCATGTTCAAGTATGACCTAGACTAGACCGAGATAGCAGTGGGCCGCAGACTGCCGAAACGGATTCCGAAATATGCCAGACTGCACAATGCTTGAGCCAAGGAGCAGATCTACAGCCCGAAGACCGGGTGCTTGGACCGTTTGGCCAAAGAGGCCAAGAGCAAAGGTGTCCTATCCACTCAAGAGTCAAGGGTGCCATGTTGCTCTCTTCATGCACGAAACCTATGGGAGGACGTAGTCGGACCCAGTACCCAAACGACCTCCGAGGCACCGAAGCTGCAAGTTTGACCCAGAGTCCCAAAGCTCCGAGCCCTTGCACAGGCCACAGCTGCTTGGTTAAATGCTGCCACGCTGACGCGGCTGGGCGAAAAGAGCCCCACCATGCCGTTAGGAAATTCCGGGCACGATACTGATACTGATCTTTGCAAACTGCGCAGCCCAGGAGGCCACTGGACGTCTCTGCAGCTTACCCTGCATTTCCAACAGACGACGAAGCTCGGCTGCCGATGACGGAACTAGTCCTGCTAATTTTGGTTGTCCAAATTATGGTCCGTTTTCACTAAGCATATTTGTTTAGTTTTTTCCCCTATTTTATTGGGTCCGTTTTTTCAAAAACCCAAACAGAGACCCTCATTTAGAGAACCACCCATTTGTCCATTGTCAGACGAAATTCCGCATTACCGTTTTAACCTACTTGAATTGCTCGGTTTGGCTTTCGTGTTGTATTTTCAAAGTACCGCCTTACTCACAGCTCTGCCGCTTCTCGAGGGCTCCAGCTGCCGACTAGCAGGTTATGTATGAATTGTGTGAACAGCTTGTAGGTGTAAAATGCATGTATGTCTGTATGCATGTATGTAAGTATGTAAGTATGCATCTGCATGCGTAAACATACAAAGGCATGTACATGTACAGAAGTTTATACACACATGCACTGATATCAGCATGGTGATGCAGTAGCCGTTGCCCAGTCTTCAGAGAACTGGAGTTTTTCCCAAAGGGTCCAAGTATCATTATAGTATATACTTAGACCCCCAAAATACCCCATAAGTTTGTAGCATAATGATACTTGGACCCTTTTGGTAACGGTTTGCTTGAGAGCCTGAGGCGGTCTTGCGCGCCATCCTCGAGGACCCGGACTTCGTGCCGCTGCGCCGCGTCTTCCCAAAGCCCTTGATGAGCTCCGAGCCTGCGGCCGGAGGCCCGAGGAAGGGGAATAGGGTTTATGCAGGGTTTAGGTTGGGATTTCAGGGTGTAGGGCTTATAGGGTTTGGGTTTTGGGTTTACTTAGTCCGAGTGCAAGTTGTGGCAACGTTTCCTTGCCGGCTGGTCCTTCCTCTTCTAGTTTCGTTGTTTTTTGTGGACTCGGCGAGCAAGGCGAGGAGGGTGACCTCCCGCCCGTGGGCATGTGCCCATCCATCGCGCTTTGGCTGGCAAGGTCTCCAGCTGTAGCAGCAGGGCCGGAAAGGCCCATAGAGGTGCTTAATAATTTAGGGAATTGTGCAGGCTGGGTCGAGCATTCAGGATGGAGAAATAATTGTTACTTTGCGGATTTTGGTCAGAAGCTGCTGGACCGTCCGATAGGCAATCACAGCCGTCGATCAGATTAAGGCGCAGTTTGCATTGCAGAGAGTTCGCAGTTGCTGAAACTCCTTAGTCTGGACAGTTAAGAGCCGATTTTCTGGCAGAGTTTCGTCACCGTCTTGACTGCCAGCTGCACTGGGCCGCATGCTTTAAGTGCTGATGGAGTCATCGCGATAAGGACCCCGCATCTGGACTGATACCCGATGCGATCTCCACGGCCTTCTTCTTGGACGTGGAACACTGCTGCCTGCGCGGAGCCGTTCGCTTCGGGCCACAGGCCACGTTCCTGGGGAGACAAGAACTTCGTCCTTATAGCATAGGTTTAGAATGCCAGGTTTAGAATGCAAAGTAAGCATGTGCGTCTGTGTGTGTACAAACATGTAAAGTGCACACATGTTATTACATCATATTCGAGTTTATTGTATTGCATTGTAATGTATTGTATATTCTGGATAATCATACAGAAATATGTCAATATATATATATATATATATATATATACACATACATACATATGTATATATATATATATATATATATATATTTATATGTGTGTGTACAACATACAAAACATACATATAAATATACATATATACATATACATATTATATGTATACAGGTTTTATATCTAATTCTATATCTCTATCTCTATTTGTATCTTTTCTATGCACATCTACGTATGCTGTCTGGCTGTCGGTCAGTCTGTCTGTCCGCTTGCCTTATGTGCATCTCATGAGCTTAAGGAGCTAAAGGCGAGGCCAAACAGGTGCTGAGGCACATATTGTATATTATAATATATAATTACATATATATATATATATATATATATAATTGTATATATATATGTATAAGGCACCGAGTGTCTTTGTATCCCGTCAAGCCAACACGGCATGCACGGCAAGAGCCCTCGTGACAGTGTTCACTCTTGCCACCTGCCCTGTCATCATGCAGCAGTCTCTCCGAGCCCCTCAGAGCCGTGCGAAATACCAGGGCCAAAGAGCTGCGGGCTATTCTTCTTCACGATATGTCACGATCCATGACATGGCACTGCAGCTCTTTATAGAATACCCAGGAGCAAGTTCGGTGCAATGGGATGAACCCTTATAGCTCAACCTATCCGGTGTGGTCCGACAGCACGGTAGTCCCTGCATCCCCTCCCTTGTGCAAAGCCCAGAAGAGATGAGGATCATGAGGATAGGAGCTAAGAGAGCTTGGCCGAATGCCGGCACCACTCTCATATGTCTCGCCTTGGCAAAAACTTGGCACCGTCTGCAGGCAACCCAGTCCATGATGACGCGGACTCTGCCTGCCGAGTGTGGCCCAACGGGTCTGGGACTCTGTGGTTTACAACCTTTCAATCCATGATTGCTGCCGAGCCTCCAGCACCCTAGAGTAGATGATTGCAGGAGTCCCAGTACCTAAAGCTGCGCACACGTTGAATCAGAAGGGAGACTTGCATGAGTCTCTTCAAAGCAAACGCGGAGGCTGTTGTCAGCTGTCAGTTAGGGATAGGGGATTTCAACTTAGAGCGCAGTAGAACAGTTAGTGCTATTACTAGCTGCAGTAGCCGCATTTTGAACAGTAGTTGTCGTGGTCCTGATAGTGGTAGTGGTAGTGGTGGTATCAGTAGTAGCAACAAGAGACGTCCCCCTCACGGTGCGATCGTTGTCATAGGCGACGATTGTACGGTCTGGTGATGCTTGCAGCACGATTATCCTGACTCGGTATCTCAGGTGAGTTCGCGCCGGGTGTACATGGCGGTGCCATCTCAATACTTCTAGCGGATTCCGCGGCTGCTTGGATCAGTTCTGCTGTAGTCTTCAGGGTATCTGCAGTCGTTCAGGGAAGGAAGGTTGATTAGGATGCAGGTCAGGGACCATTGCCTTGGTCATTGCGTCAGGGTCGAAGCTTCGCAATCTGCAAGATATACTGTTGGTGCCATGGTTTTACTGACAGAAAAGAGCGGGTTCTGTTGCGAGAGCCGGTCTTGCTAGACCTGCAAGCAAGCACATTGTCGCGGAATTCGCACTTTCACGATCGCCTGGTGCTGGCAGAGGCAGCACTTTACCGACAGTGAAGGCATCCCGAGCATCGCCTGAGCCGAGATTGTTGAGTCACCACACTGGACACGACACAGTGGCAAACCCCTCTTGTCACAGTGCTGATGCCAACAGTAAACACATGTTCTTTCGATGCAGGGAGGTGACATAGCTGCTTCGTGTGGCCTGTTGTTGTCGGACAGAGTTCGGCTGTACAGTTGGCTTCCGCGGAAGTTACCCGGAGCGAGATGGAGTCAATATCGTTATCATTCCAGATTGGGGTCTTCATCCTGTGGCTGTATCGAACAACGGTAGTAAACCGATAGTACACGTTGCTGAAATCACCTGATGGTAGCACTGCTGAAATCAGAGTAAAAGTTGCCGGCACATGCAGGCACTCCTTGTGGTGTATTGAGAAGCTGGAGTTTAGTTATCGTCAAGTGCGAGGCTGGCCATATTACGTGACAACCTGGTGTAACCACAAGCAGAAACAAACATCAGCACATTTGCTCATGCCCGGTCGATTTGCATTGCCTCCAAATCTGAAGCCCACCGTGATTTGCAATCGGAGGTCTCGAAGCCATGATGTGACTAGCCCTGAAGTAGCCATGAGGTATGATGCATGATAAAGCCCAAGAAGACATATTGAGATGTCCAACTCTTTCAAACACGATCATGTCAGGAGGACCAAAAAGCAAGACTGCACACCCGCCTTGAGGTTTACTTGGCTCGCCTAACCTGGCAGCCCAATGCAATGCTCAGCAAGCTCAGCTGCCAGTGCCCTTGGCGAAGTGATTCTGTTTTCGGGTGGTTGCAGTCACTCCAGTGATGTGATTTTGAGACAACGGGTGCCCTAACCTACTGAGCATGGAGTTGCGAGGGCCGCTCTCAGCAATATTGCTGGGTTTGCACTTTGAGAGTTGCAGACATGCCTTTAGACTGTCTGTCGTTGTCGCCCGCCTGCTCACGTGTGGGTGTGTGTGTGTGTCTGTGTGTCTGTGTGCGTGTCTGTGTGTGTGTGTGTGTGTGTGTGTCTCTGTGTGTGTGTGTGTGTGTCTGTGTGTGTGTCTGTGTGTGTGTGTGTGTGTCTGTGTGTGTGTGTGTGTCTGTGTGTCTGTGTGTGTGTGTGTGTGTCTGTGTGTGTGTGTGTGTCTGTGTGTGTGTGTGTCTGCGTGTGTGTGTGTGTGTCTGTGTCTGTGTCTGTGTGTGTGCGTGTGTCTGTGTGTGTGTGTCTGTATGTGTGTGTCTGTGTGTGTCTGTGTGTGTGTGTCTGTGTCTGTGTCTGTGTGTGTGTGTCTGTGTGTGTGTGTGTCTGTATGTGTGTGTCTGTGTGTGTCTGTGTCTGTGTGTGTCTGTGTCTGTGTCTGTGTGTGTGTGTGTGTGTGTGTGTGTGTGTGTGTGTGTGTGTGTGTGTGTGTGTGTGTGTGTGTGTGTGTGTGTGTGTGTGTGTGTGTGTGTGTGTGTGTGTGTGTGTGTGTGTGTGTGTGTGTGTGTGTGTGTGTGTGTGTGTGTGTGTGTGTGTGTGTGTGTGTGTGTGTGTGTGTGTGTGCTGTGTGTGTGTGTGTGTGTGTGTGTGTGTGTGTGTGTGTGTGTGTGTGTGTGTGTGTGTGTGTGTGTGTGTGTGTGTGTGTGTGTGTGTGTGTGTGTGTGTGTGTGTGTGTGTGTCTGTGTGTGTGTGTGTGTGTGTGTGTGTCTGTGTGTGTGTCTGTGTGTGTGTGTGTGTGTCTGTGTGTGTGTGTGTGTGTTTGTCTGTGTGTGTGTCTGTGTGTGTGTGTGTGTGTGTGTGTTGTGTCTGTGTGTGTCTGTGTGTGTGTGTGTGTGTGTGTGTGTGTGTCTGTGTGTGTGTGTGTGTCTGTGTGTGTGTTGTGTGTGTGTGTGTGTGGTGTGTGTGTGTGTGTGTGTGTGTTGTGTGTGTGTGTGTGTGTGTGTGTGTGTGTGTCTGTGTGTGTGTGTGTGCTGTGTGTGTGTGTGTGTGTGTGTGTGTGTGTGTGTGTGTGTGTGTGTGTGTGTGTGTGTGTGTGTGTGTGTCTGTGTGTGTGTCTGTGTGTGTGTGTGTTTGTGTGTGCCCTCCTGTGTACACAGCTGTACAAACTCACGATTAAGTTGTCCCGACACGTCTGCACGCAGGTTCTCCAAACCGTGCCCGTGCTTGCAAACTCTGGAGGTTACAGCTACCTGGGGTAACATGGCTTATTGAGACTTATGCGCTCCAGGGGTCGCAGCTTGAGGTACTGGGGCCGGGAGTTGGATTTTAACTTCGGGCGTTGCACGAGATGCTTGCTTCAGAGCGGCAGCAGAAGGTGGGCAGCAGTGACCTCGGTGTGCCGGGGCAAGAATCCTGTTAGGATACAGGACTCCGCTCTCAAGCGAGAGAGGACCGCTCTTCAACCCCGGAGATCCCAACCCGATTATCAACCCTGCCACACCCGGACCAGTGTTAGACTCGTAAAGTCTAAAGCCTACTGTAAACCGTACGGCGGACGGTCTACAGTATGCACCGTCGCAAAAGTTCAAGCCTTCTCTCTCTGTGCCCGGATGCCCAACCCAAAGGAAAAGAGACCGAATCCAAGTTCAGGGTTGAGTTTCGTTAGCTTGGCTTTAGGAAGAGCTTGCTTTGCGGCATGCCTTTTCGACTGGAAGGCCTGCGGGTTCTTCCTCACTTCTCCCAGAAGGGCAACCCCCCGAATCCGTAGAGGACTCAGAGTTGAGGTCTTCGGTGTGAGGATTGTACCCATAGGATTACCTTATGGGATTCTATATACGAACCCCAAAAAGGAACTACTTTGGGGCCTTTGGGTAAGGGCGCTCATTCAACACTTCATCCACTTCTGACTCACATGCTGCGATCTCGGGACCTGGGGGATGCTGGGAGGTTTGGGAGTTCAGGTGGGAGTTTTTTCAGAAAATAGGGGACCTATTAATATAGTACCCTAAAATCGTAGGATCCTTATTATAGGGACCCCAGAATAAGGTACCCCTGATTTCGGAAACTCCCAGGTTCTGTCCGAAGCCGACATTCCGAGTTAGTCGGAACGTCGGGCTGCGAGCCCTGAGCCCTGAGAAAAACCCCGAGGTTTGGAGGACAACTGGGCCCATCACTCGACTGGAATGACCACGAAGGTGTATCTGAATCTTGCCGGGCACGGTGGGCAAGACTGCTCGGTTCTGATTCGTGAGCTTTTAGGCGTCAAAGAGCTGAACGAGTTTGAACGACGGGGCAGACGAATATATCCGCGGGTTTCATAAGGGTCATTTGCGGCATGCATGGTGGGTCTTCTGGCACAGTACATTCAACGATCAGATGATGCAAAGCAGTGTGAGAATACAGAGTTCTTCATATTCTCAAAGTTTCTGGCTGTACCCAACCCGCTCATGAAGTACTTGTAGCAACAAACTATTTGATGCAGCAAAGCAGCAGGCAATTTGCAACCCTGCTGTTCCATTGCCCAAATTCTAAGGAAAGCCGGCAAGACGACCATCGCCTCTGCCGAGGCGCGAACTGTGGTGTCCCATGTCAGCTTTGCAAGGGGTTTGGTAGGACGTGGTTGTAATCAACGGAACGGGGCCCAGGGTCGCGTGGAACGAAGATAACGGGTCCTTTCCTTCTGGGACGTGCGCTTGTCTAGAGCTTTTGATAGGCAACATTACTTTTCAAGTTTGCGTGTTCGTGAGACCTGCAACCGAGCACAGCCGTGTCGACGCAGACTGGTTGTGGCTGTGCACATCAACACTAAGTCGCTCCCGGAGTCTTCATGTATTGTCGATCGCAATAGCTCTGCCGATAGGATCGACGCACTGCCGCTTCGACTCTAGAGATTCCATGTTCAGTTTCTGTAGCTGTTCGAAGGAGCGTAGAACCGGCTTGCAAGCGAAGACACATGGCTATCATGAGCAGGAATACTGACTAAATTTGAATAGAAGCCAAGGCGTGATTCGTAATTATGATGACTACGAGAAGTTTTCATATTCTTTCGCAGAGGGGGCGACAGTCTAAGCAACTGCAAGCCAGGCCTATCTCATGTCCTTTCCCGAGAAGCCCTTCAAGCTTCCGGCGCCTAGCACGCATTCCGGACAAGTCGATTGATCAAGCATCAGTAGGAACTGCATGACTGCTCCCGCTGTCTATGTATATCTAGTATGCTCGCAGTGTATCGCAATTGGCAGGCTCTTGCTTTAGCGTATTGGCTTCATAGCTTGCCGTGTCTTCTACATCCCTGCGTTGTGTCCTGGTTCTGTCGGCTAAGCTTTCCCGCGCTGACATCGAGGTTCACCTGCCAAGTCGTTTCAGCGTGGCCCGGCCAGGCGCGGAGCCTATGAAAGTATTCCCACGCTTTTGACTAATTATAGGATTGGGTTGGAATCGAGTAGGCTGACAGCGTGGTTTGTGTATTTCAAAGGCGAGAGTATGCACATCACCAGATGGTTGGGCTGCAGGTCAAGGGCTCGGAGGCTTAGTTGGAGGTGGCAACAGACGATTTCTTGCGTTCTTGGAAGTATTCTTCGAGGCAGAAAGCTAGCAACGCTCCAGCGCAGCGCACAGCAGGTGTGGACTGGGTACCTCCCGAGCTGGCAGTGGCGAAGCTTCCTCCCCCTGTGCAGAAGATGCCGGCCTACAGCGAGCAGGAGACGCCCAGCCAGAAGAAGAGAACAGATTTTGGTTGTTGCTTCTGGGGAGCTGTTGGAGTCTTCAAGCAGAGGGCTGTGGAGGGCAACCTCGAAGCTTTCGGTTCATTGCCCAACCTGCGACATTCACCCGGGTGATGCGATGTTCTATCTGTCTGTCTGTCTGTCTGTCTGTCTGTCTGTCTGTCTGTGAAGATGACGTGGGCGCATGGAGCAGGCTTGCAACTAGGCAGCACACTTCCCGAATGCCAGTGTCCCATGTGGTGGAGTCCAACTTTAACTGCAGGCCTAGCATGTGTAGGACGCATGCCTAGCATGTGTAGGACGCAAGAAACGGACGCGGAAGGTTCCATTTAGCCCTCGCATTTCGAGCAAGGCATGCGAGAATCCTCATCAACTCTGCGAGTGATCATCTGAGGTACATGAAAGCTGTCTTCGATCGAGATCAAGCAGTTCTGGATCCAAGGCCGTATTCATGGGGTCAGTAGTCAGTAGATATAGGTTATCGTCACTCTACTTGCTCATATATTCGCTTACTGTAATGATTATGTATATGAAGAAGCAAGCAATTACGTAATGAAACATAAAACATATATACATGTGTATATATATATATATATACATGGATACAAATATGGGCACATATAAACAGAGATGTATGCATGCCTGCATGCATGTATGCATGCATGCATGTATGTATGTATGGGTGTATGTATGGATGTATAGCTGCATGTATGTGTAGGTATATGTATACATAACATGCTGCGGTGTTTACAGTAACCCAGTCTCACTGTGGAAGAATGCGCCACTTCAAAGGGCTGTGCTGCATGCCTAGGGCGGTTGTGGAGATGTTCATGTGGTGCATGGGAAGCGAAATCCGCAAGCACCGCACAGGTCTTGCGCCGTAGTGGAGGAGGTCGGTACTGAAGAGCGCAATGCCAACCAGGGCTGGCGGAAGCAGCTTGGTCGAACATGTGGGGCCATGTGGGGTTGAGTGTTTAGGGTTATAGGTTATAGAGGCTGTTGTTCAAGTAGGTACCCTGAGCTGTAGGAGAAGCACATGTCCCAACACAGGCCTTAGCTTCTGGTTATCATAAGGGGACGGTTCCAAACACGTCGGCGAGACGTACCGCTTAGCTAGCATAGCCCATTAAAAGCAACAGTAAGAGTAGTTAGACAATGGTAAAAAGCCGAAAGAAACAGCAAGAATGACAGCAATAATCTGCCAAGACGAGCTGTCTCTCTCCCTCCAACTCTCTCTCCTTCTTTCTCCAGGCTCCAACTGTTTTTGGCCTCCCTCCCTATATGCCCCGAAACATCATCTTGAGCAGATGCCCGAAGAAGTTTCGGCTGCGTGTGTGCACGAACAGCACACGCGTGCCCGGTCCGCATTTCATGAGATCCCTGGTCGTACAATCCAAAAAGCTGCTGCTTGCGAGAAGGCGCGCGCGCAAGGGTTTCGCCTGAGAAGACAAGGTGGTTCTCCTTCCAGCCGCATCCATCGGAGTCAGAGCCATGTCAACTCACTCCGGAGTTGGGAACCCATGTTTCCAATTGCTGCTTCGTCCTCAAGAGCCTAAACGAGGGTCACTCTGAGTTGTCCATCTGCTTGTTGATCAAACTCCTTGCTCTCACTCCTGTGATAGTTGTACGTGAAGATGGCGATGACTGCGACTGTGACGGCAAGGATGATGAGGGTGGTGGTGTTGGTGGCAATGATGACTATTCCGATGATGGCAGTACCGGAGATGGTGGTCATGATCATGCTCACCATCATCTACACCAGCATCATCATCATATGGTCGTGACAACAGGTATGCTCCAGGGTAGCGTACCAATACTCATGTGCTGCAAGCTCCCCCCAGCCTTGTTTTTCCAGGCACTTGAGGGCCAATCGGCCTATTCGTGGCATAGGAGAGATCCACCACGACCTTTGCTTCCCCGGAGGCCGATTCTAAGCAGGGGCTGCAACCTGCATGCGTTCTCTAAATTGGGATGTGCCTCGACGCACTCTCTGTCAGAGCAACTCATGGATCAATTGGATTTGCTCCAGGGGCTGTAGTGCAAGACTGCAGCCACCCAGACCCTACCTCGCAGATAAGGGGCACGCGGGCGCTGCCAACCCATCCTCATCGTTTTTTGGGCTCACGGCAAATCCCGTGATTTCAGTGGCCACTTACACCTACATTGGCCGGTGGTCTAAGCCTCCAAGCCCTACGCCCTGGAGACCCTCAATCCTAAATTCCTAAATGCCTACCCTGAAAGGCACCGAAACCCTTAAACCCTCCAGGGCCTTCCTCTTGGTGCAGGTCTTGCGCCGGCAGCCATGAGCTCCGAGAAGCCTCTCGGCCCAAGATTTCCTAAAAACCAAGCTCCTTCAATCGAATGCCAATTAGTTCAGAGGTTACCAAACTCTAACGGAAGGCCTCACACGCAAGACTTGTAGGGTGTAGACTGATGGTTTCGATTTCATGTAGAAGTCTCGGACTTAGAACCGGGTCCTGAACAATTCCATTCGGCCGAGGTATCTCGTCCAGGAGATGCGAGGGAAGAGCCAGATTCCGGCTGATGGGTTTGGAGCACTATTTTAAGCTTGTCACCGTTATGGCGGTTGACGATGGCACATAATGTCCTTGTGTCTTTCGCTTCGATGACTCGATGAGACGGAAGAGTTGTATTCATGTCACCTGGTCGGCCAAGTCCTTGCAGCAACAGCAGCATCAAGAGACCCCAAGACTCGGCAGATCAACCAGCACCACAGATCGAACAAGAGTCTCGGGCCCATGCCAGGACACAGCTGGCATCAGATTTGCAGCTTGGAGGCATGAATGTCACAAGGCGGAGCGGCTCTGGCGACCAAGGCATTATAGCATTCAACATTACGACGCTGCCATGCTAATGTGGGTGCAGACGGTCAAACATGGTCCATGTTGTGTTACAGTCTACGTAGATTTACAAGGAGTGCTAAGGTAGGCGCCATCAAGCTGGGCCCGCAAGCTTCCGAAGCCATCTATTTGACAGAGGACGGGAGTCTCGGTTGCAACTGGCTTTGGAGTCTGCACTCCAAGGGCTCAGGACTGTCCATGTTTGATGCCCCAGAGCTTGCTGACGAGTTGCTGAGTAAGGATAATGCACATTATGGCATCAACGTCGTGAGCTATTTTGTTTTGTGCAGCCTGTTTGAGAACTCCCACTGGTCATGAAGTCCTTGATCTTGATCACCGGTCATTTCTTATGATTCGCTTGATTAACGGTCACGTGTGTCCAGAGCCTCTGAGCCAAGGAAGAAGCTTGCAGACGGCACCTTGTCTTTGGCCCCCTGGCAGCAGAAAGATGACCGAACCTCCGACAGCACAGGATTGCATGGATTTGAGCAGATGATTTACCACAGGCTGAAGCCACCAACTGAAAGGCTGGCAACGGCCAGGATGAGCGCCACACATCGAGGAAAGCCTGCAAGATATCACACAGCTGACGTGATCTGGCATCCAAGAGACGGTACAGCACAAGCTTTAGTTTCCAAGAGGGACTGCCCTGAATCGGCTCCTCACCAATAGCCGTCCAAAAGCCGCTCACGAATGCCTTTCTGGCAGATGCCTGGAGGGGATGATGTTGGAACAAACAATGTAGCAGCAATGAGTCAATGTTGAAATCACATATGACAGGACGAACACCACTCCTGACGAGGGGTTGACGGTTCTGTTTAGCATTGTTCGCTGTGCATTCCTGCTGCCGTCGTGCCTTTCATGACATGTATCATAGGTGGCGCACCCTGCCATGGGAATGGCCGCCTTGGATGATCACCTTGCACACCTGCCACGCTGCGATGGACGTGCCACCTGGCAGGATTTCACGTCAAGAGGGCAAAGTTACTCTCCAAAGCCTCAGGAAAAGACATCCGTGACCTGGAAGCAGGAGATGGAGGTCAAAGCACTCTTACCCGTGGGCCAGGCGAGGGTCCTTTTCTGAAGGAGTCTTTTGCCTTTGACCTCTGAGTTGATCTGGTCGCTTCACTCCCTGGTGCCAGCAACTAACTGATCATGTTGCAGCGATTGCGGCTGCCAGCTCTGTCAAGTACGGAATGGAAGCCAGATGTCGAAATGCGGCTTTTTCCTGACAGGAGCTCGAGTTTGAGTGCCTCTGCCCAGAGAAGCAGGGAGGCGGCAACTGGTTCCGGTGCTCTTCGTTGATTTCAGCACTCGTCGAATTCTACAGACCTTCCAATCCCGCGATCACAAGCATGTGCTACTGTACCAGTTTTCAGCTCTCCAGGCATCTCTCGTGACATTCTGCTTGATCTCTTCTGCGCACGTCCATGGGGGGCTCGCATATACGGATGAACCTTTACGCCTCGACTGACAGTCCGCTCTTCCAGCTACAGCATTCACCCGGTGCTTCCGTGGCCCCGGCAGTGTCCCGCTGTGTAGCTGGCGCGCCACTGTAGCATCCCGCCCGGCGCAGGGCCCGTGGGCACCAGCGTCAAGGGCGAGATTCGCTACGAAGACCAGGTCTTGGTGACGCTGCCACTTGACAGCTTTGATGCAAAGAATAGTGGAGACTCTGACGGAAGCTGCTTGAGAGCCAAGAGCTGTCCCTCAAACGCTGGTGCCTCTTCAAATGCCTTGCAGTCCTGGTTGGGGCTCCGTCTTCACAGATAACAGGGCACTTGCTCCGATCCGGTTCAACGTAGGTATCACAAGGCCTCGTGGTTCTTGTCATGGAGTGGAAGTCTAGGAAGGGCTTACTCAAAGACGCCCCGGCGACAGTTGACTTCAAGCACATCCTGTTCATTCCGGCGGACTTGACCTTGTAGAGGGGGCCCGAAACACAGGAATCCGAACCTTACCATTTCGGGCACATGCCTGGAATATGTATTATTCAGTCATATCTTGCATAGCTTCCGTGACATCCTTTCGGCCTTCAGTGCTTCAGAACATGGTACTTGTACCTGACCGCGCCCTCACCGACACGACCTCGCATCACCTCGTCTTTTACGGTTGGTTTTGTATGTCAGTAGAGTAGATCGGAGTTCATCCTCAGACAAGCCTGAATTACCTGTCAGCGGTCAGGTCTGCCATCATTACCTCGAGTGATCGGGATGCACCTGGTTCTGCGGGGCTGTAGGACAGGGTCTGCTGCATAATTTAGCACAGAATTCTGTAATACGTTGCTCCGGACCGTGACCCTGGGACAAGTTCCCCAGAACCGGAAGACTGCCTGCCAAAGATGCGGGCAACTGAGTCGGCGACCAAAGGGAGCAGCGAAGAGTGGGCTCTGTTTTGAGGGTTCCTCCGGGATGCAGAGAGAATTGACAACAGAGGCTGGGGCATTCAGAACTTGCAGGGTGGTATACAGGGCATGACTGGAGTCTCTCGTACCGCCACACTCGCTCCGGAGCAGTCTCTTCAGAAGTTCCAAGTCGCGCTCATCGATTTCACAGGGCTGTCGATGTCACTCCGCGCACCAGCAACAGTCCTTGTCAAAGGCATCGGATAATCCAACGAGCTTAGGGGCAAGTGGTCATTTTTGATCGCCACGCATTCATAGAAAGGGCTCTGAAGAGTATCTCCTACGCATGAGTTGAAAGCGTAAGGGCAAGTGGCATTCGCCCGCCGGTCTTCCGACCGCCGGTCTTCCCGCGCAGAATCGGAAAAGTGCAGTTGAAGCTCGAACCTCAGGTTTGCTTTCTGTCGAAGTTATTGCGCATTCCTGGAAGTCATGCACAGAGAAGGCACACGGGGTTCATATCCTCTTTAGACACGAATAGATCTTGAGATGAGATCTCGAGACCCGCCAGGGTCGGTCTTCAGACTGATGAAGGGCTCCTGTACGGGAACGTAACAGTCAAAGCCCAGCCTTCAGGCCCATGGTCAACGGCGTGAGCTGTGGCTCTCTCTTCGGCTCCCCCGAGGCACCTTTGCAGGCCATGGCGCAGGGCACGTATACGGGCTCTGATACCAGAGACTGCGCATAAGTTACACATCAGAAGCCGCTGTGCCTCCTCGAATCATGAACAGGTGCCAGATCTCACAGAATACTGGGGAGCTCACCGTGTGGCCACCTGCGACGCACCGGTGCGGCAGAGCTTGATTTTCATGTGCCTTTTGTCAGGCTCAGGGACAGAAACATTGCTCAGCATCATCTTGCTTCGGCGTGTTATGCTATTTGTTCGTCGCATGATCATGAATTATCTACTGGGACACAGATGGTAAACTGTGAGTGCCGTTGGCTTCATGAACGGACTTCTTGGAGTTTGCCGGCGCGCTGGAAGTCTACTTCTCTAGCTAGGACATTCCGGAACCTCTCCTCTGCCTTCGTAGCCAGGTCTTTTGGCTGAACTTCTCGGTGCCAGATAGCACGCGGCGGTACCTGGATGTCAGCGCAGGTCCGTTTAGTCGAGTCCAAGCATTGCGACACCCACATATACTGCACCTGGGCAAAAGACTGGTGTCCCACAAAGTTTGGCAAAACACACACGAAAAGTCAATTCCTGTATCAAGTCGTCCACAGTTGCTCCGGCCGTGGCAAATGCTTCTGGCACGCATTCATAGTATACGTGCTACTGTTGTAGGAATGGGCGGCGAAGGCATGTGTTTGTGTTCGCGTGCATATGCCGCGTGCATCTGCGCCTGCCTTTGCCTGTGCGTCTGTCTCGGCCTCTGCGTGTGCATGTGCATGTGTGTGTGTGTGTGTGTGTGTGCGTGGGTGTGTGCGTGGGTGTGTGCGTGGGTGCGTGCGTGGGTGTGTGCGTGGGTGTGTGCGTGGGTGTGTGCGTGGGTGTGTGCGTGGGTGTGTGCGTGGGTGTGTGCGTGGGTGTGTGCGTGGGTGTGTGCGTGGGTGTGTGCGTGGGTGTGTGCGTGGGTGTGTGCGTGGGTGTGTGCGTGTGTGTGTGTGTGTGTGTGTGTGTGTGTGTGTGTGTGTGTGTGTGTGTGTGTGTGTGTGTGTGTGTGTGTGTGTGTGTGTGTGTGTGTGTGTGTGTGTGTGTGTGTGTGTGTGTGTGTGTGTGTGTGTGTGTGTGTGTGTGTGTGTGTGTGTGTGTGTGTGTGTGTGTGTGTGTGTGTGTGTGTGTGTGTGTGTGTGTGTGTGTGTGTGTGTGTGTGTGTGTGTGTGTGTGTGTGTGTGTGTGTGTGTGTGTGTGTGTGTGTGTGTGTGTGTGTGTGTGGTGTGTGTGTGTGTGTGCGTGTGTGTGTGTGTGGGTGTGGGTGGGTGGGTGGGTGGGTGGGTGGGTGGGTGGGTGGGTGGGTGTGTGCGTGTGCGTGTGTGTGTGTGTGGGCGTGTGGGCGTGTGTGGGCGTGTGTCTGTGTCTGTGTCTGTGTCTGTGTCTGTGTGTATGTGTGTGTGTGTGTGTGTGTGAATGGCTGTGTCTCTGTCACGGTTGGATTTGCAATCCCGGGAAATCACTCGCTGAAACCTGCAGCCAAACTGGCACAGGCTCCTTGCATCCTGCCTCCTCCTTCGGCCAGACGCCCAGATCCTGATGCTTTGGGTCATTCACATCTGAGGCTACATGTGACCATAGATGCCCATCATTCCTGCAAAGCTTACGAACTAATGATCTCTCGGGGTATAAGCAAGTCCGAAGCCGGCTATTGCCGGAAATGCAGCCTGACCATCGGTACATGCATGCGGCTGTTAACATCGGGGTCCCAAGAATCTGATTTGAGCAAAGAGCACAATACTCCGTATCACACAGTAGTCTTCGGGAGGTCTTTGGAATCATATGGCATGCATGCAAAGCCAGACTACGGAAAACGACAAGGTCAGATGTATGTATGGGGTATGCCGTATGATATGTAAAACGATATACTGAAGCCGCAAAAGACGATACGCTCATTTTGTGGGCTTATAGTTCTCTCTCTCTCTCTCTGTCTCTTTCTTTCCCTCTCTGCTTGTCTCTCAGTCATCCGGAGGCCGAGGAAGGCGCCAAAGAGCTAACGGAAAATGAGATCAGGAGACATGACTTGGAACGATATCAAAACGATATCACAACGATAACTGACCTTTGGATAAGAGTGTCATTTCTGAACTTTTATCGGAGCCCTCACTACCAGGTCGCTACCAACAATCCTCAGCTGTGTAGTGAAGCAGTCTGTTCTTCCACCCGACAGGTGTTTAAGGAATCGTTCTCGACATGACTCGACATGCTTGCAAATAACGTGCTTTGTGAACTTTATGATGCTTATGCCACTGATGTCCGTTTGATATGCAAAGCGATATTCTGAACCCCCCAAAAGGATACTTTCAAGAACAAGACTGCTTTCACGCAAACGAATGTACATCGCCCATATGGGTTTTGGGTGTCGAAAAGCTATGCCTATGATAAGGACCATGTGGAAATCATATTGCTGAGTAGTTAGCATTCTGTGTTGTATTCCTGGCGTCCGCAGTCGACACTGGCAACATGGAAGGTAAGCGAATCATATTACTAGTCAGGGTTCTGCATGGCAGTCATCGCATGCAACAAACAGTCGACTGGCCAGCCACTCCCACTCGTCGCCGCAAGCGTGCAACGCTTGCGGGTCAAGGAAAAGAGTGTTGTTCGGGTCTAAACATCAGAGTTGGGTTTTGACTTCCTTGCCACCGTCACGACGGTGGTAATTCCTAGTGGTTTGATCTCTGATGCATAAGCCTTCATCCATCATCCAGCAAGCCGAGACCCTGAACCCTAAACCGAGTACCCCGATTCTCTAAATCCTCAACTCTGTGAAAGTCTCATCTGTGAGTCCAAATTAACCGAGTCTCTAAGACTCCCGTGTGTGAAACCGGAACCTTCAACGGAACCCGTACAGGAAGCTTTAAAGGAGCCCCTACAGGAATCTTTAAGGGACCCTCAAAGGAATCGTTAAAGGAATTGCCCCAAAGGGAGTCCTAGCCCCACACCTGCACTCCTGAGGCTCCGGCAGGTTGCTGGGTCTGCGGGTCGATGCGCAGAGATGCCATGCTTTCACCGGCCCGTAGAGTGGGTCGAGTTCAAAGTTCTGGGGTTAGGGTTTAGGGGTTTAGGGTTTAGGTAGAGCTTTTTTTGTTTGTGGAGGGGGGGGGGGTTGAAAATGTCACTTCGCAGTGTTGGACAGAGCTTTTGCCTTTAGGGCTTTGGTCGAGAATTTCGGGTTTTCGTTGAGATACTGGGTGACAGCGGACCTTTCAACATGCTTCAAACAATGCATCTCATTCTGGAGGCAACATGCAAAGTGGTGAGTACAACCGGAACAGTCAAATGTAGAGACCAGCGTGCAACTTCTCGCGATGGTCATGCCCCGACGAGGGATTGTGGCAATGACAGATGGCATCCTCCTAACATGTCCTTGGCATGGTCAAGACCACCTTGCTGACAGCATTACGGCAGAACAAAGTAAGAAGTTGGAAAAAAACGTGTGCAAGTTTTGCTTTGCACGACAACAAGGCAGTGCTGTCGTTCTACTTTTCTACTTCGGAATCTCAAGGGCCCAGGAACGGCAGGCGGCAGGCTGAAGTTGCGATGAACATATCGCACAGCAATGGCAGTAGGCGTCAACGATGGCGATTTTAGTCCAGCTCCAGGATCTACAACTCTTCTATCGTCCCGCAGTGTGTTCTACTCTATCCGATATTGTTCTACTCTATTAGTCTTATCTTGTGCTATGTTACATTCTACCATCTCATTTTGTGTTGCATCACTTTGTTGTCTTATCTGATCTGATCTTGCACTTTAATTCTCTTGGCCTGCATGAGCTATATGCCATTCTGCTCTTTTGCATCATGTTCTTTTGTGTTATGCTGCATCATCTCTCATGTTTCAGAATACTTCAGCATAGAACATACTGATTTGTTTATACTACATTCGACAGACAGCCAGGGTCGTCATGTCCGAAGACCAGCCCGAGTTGGACACGTCCCAGCTCGAGATTAGCCTGCCTCCAGGCGCGTGTTCGCCCTTTGCTTTTCGGGTTTGGGGTTCTGGGTTTAGGTAAGCCCCATAAAGAGCCCAACGCCCTCCACGCTAAACCTGAAAACTACCCAACTCCAACGGCCTTTAACCGAAATTCTGTCAGCTATGTAGGCTCCAAGGCTGTTCCAAGCTGTAGCCCTTCAGGGGGGAAAAATGTTTGGTATCTCGGGGTGCACGTCCGACTTAACTTGTATGCAACAGGGTGTAAGGCGGTAAGTCGGAAAGAAACGGCCATAGTCTTAAGCCATTCATGAGCGGGAAGTTAGAACCCCAAATCAAGTTTTGGACAATCAGCCCTCTGCAGAGCCTTTCGCGCGGCGAAGTTAGAACCTGAATTGTCGTTTCTGCTACGGGGCAAGTTACAAGTAAGAAAATCTCTGAGCCAATCACTGGGCCTCCAGAAAAAATGTATGAGATGAATATAAAAACATTGACAAAACGTGTGAGAAAGGTTTGATACTGAAATCACATGAAATTGAGTACCGACGGAATATGAACAAGTATTATGAATCAGGCATGGGTAAACTTTGACTGGGATTTGTGGGCCTGACCCGGAAAATAAAGTACGACACAAGTATGAAAAATATAAAGACAGTTTCAAAAATAGAGTTCACATCTCGTTCCAGCCCCGCCTTCATTCGTTGCTCATAACGTGTTCATCCGTGTTCCTGCGTTGCTCAAACGTTTTCATACTTTTCATACGTGTTTCAAACTTCCTGCTCGCCGAATCATATCCATGTCAGCTTTGTTCATACATGTTTCACACCTTCTGCCATGTGCAAATTCATAAGCAGCTCATGTTGCTTTCATATGCTTATCTCTCCCTTGATTCCAGAGGCTAGCGCCCAAGATTGTCAAGAAGTCTTAGCCTTATAAAGCAACTCGAGAAATCGTTGGATCCTGTAGTTGACTTCGAGCGCACAGCAGCATTGCAAATCCGAACAGTCATGCTGTATATATGTATGCATGGATATACGTCGCATATCGCCTGATGCCTGCCTTCGCATGAAGATGCATCTGCACTAGGAGCCTAGGCAAGCATGATTTCGTTGACAGGAGAAGAGCTGCTTTGTGCAGACCCCACATGACCTCCGAGTAGTCGCCTAAACCAATGCGCCCCCTTGCTGCGAGTACTGAGTACGTCTCAGAGTTGCTCTCATTGCCAGGCATGACGAAAGGCGTTCTGCTGCAGTCAGCGGAGGACGTGTCCAGCTGCAGGCCTGGGTGCGCAGAAGACCACTGGCGGCAATAGACTGACCCTGTTCTGTTTTGCCTGCCGCCAGGTCACTGTCAAACTATCGTTGGATTCCGTTGGATTGAGTTTCAAAGCCGTCGTGCAGTCAGAGCCCTCAGAGCTGCAACCTCCCTGTGGGTGATAACGCAGGCACACCGAAACAGAGATGGTCACAGAGGTCCGGTCTTGCTTGGGCAAGGGTAGTACGGGACTAAATGTGCCCTGGGCTCTTGTGACTTGCATGGTATGACGATGTTTGAATTCAATGAAGAAGAAGATGATGATCATGATGCGGCGACCTGTTCGGACAATGCTGCTAATCACAGCGGTGATCTGGATCACGGTGAGGACGATGAGGATGATGATGATATCATCATCATCATGACAAAGATGGGTTCGATAGTTGCTAGGACACGGATCATTCTCATGGGCATGATCTTGGTCATTACAGATGGTGCTGTCAGCCAATGACAGGCCAGATTGCTGTTTGACGTCGGTGAATAACCAGAATGCAGCACTGGTGCTCGGGAGGAACCTCAGTACTTAAGACGGGACACACGCGACGCTAAGTTCGCGACAAGCATCTCTTGCGCGGCTGTTGCTTACATTGTTGCTGTTGTTATCGTAACGTTTGCTATCAACCAAAGTTGCATTGTGAACATGTCCAAACTGGCACTGATGCTAGTTCAAGACACATGGAAGTGCTTGCTTTTCAAGATCCTAACAATGACTGTGTTGGTCATTGTGGCATTCAGACTAACGGACATGCTATAGTCGGAGTTGCAGTCACCGCCCGCTTGTAGGTGGCAGCAGCAGCAGCAGCGATGTATGCGTCGTCATCTTCACATCAAGCTGTAACACATAGTGTTGCATCAGCAGCTGTAGTAGATAGCGTTGCAGCGTCGTTTCGTTTGCGCCAGCTTTCTGATAAAAACGGGACCATCTCGCCTCAACTCCTGACTCTGAGTTAGTTTTCTTGTGACTCTTGGAGTCCGTTGCCAGGTCAACCAAGGCATGTGTGCCTTCTACGACAGCTTCGGCCCTTGGGGAGCTCCTCGACAGAGTCGAGTCTTCACTTGGAACTTATCCGTACCATAGCTTCATCTTGTCTTTCAGGTAAGTTGCTATGCTCGTCACCGTGGTCGATTTCGAGGGAGTTGAAATGATGGCAGTGCTTTCGCTGACATTTCCAGGTTTGTGCTGGTTAGTCTGCTCGCTAATAATTCCAAGCCATCACATGCGAACTAGGACCAGCAGGCTGTCGAAAAGCTGTTAGACCTCACTAGCTCGGCGACATTGTCCCGCTGGATCGACCTTGGCCCATGGACTCCAGTCCATTCAAGTTCTGCACGGCTAGAAAACCGCAAAATGGAATTGTATTTTCAGTCCTCATACGGATCCTAGGCTTGTATTGTAGGACATTTGGCCTTCCGTCGCTTCTTGGATTTCGGGGCCAAAAACAGATCGCCAAGTGTTCTGATTCTAGCAGAACTTAATATGCTGTTCTACAAGTTTACAAGAATGGATTCTCATACTCCGACGCCACACTTATCCCCACACCCAGGCCCCAAATCCAATCCCAACTCAGCGAATAGGGCTCCCAGAGCTCTACAAAAACCCTAAACCCTACATGAACAGAGATGCATTAATTGGCCCGAACGTTGGGAATCTTTCGTTCTGAGTGTGCCGAACACTTTGCGAGGACTTTCTTTGCACATGTTGAGTTGGAAACGAGTGGGCACTCCACTTCTTGGGCAGGTCAGGTGTTTTGGCTTTGTGTTCGTTTGATTCGGTCAAGCTGCTGTCCGGTGATCTGGTCCTTGAAATCCTGTGTGCTGTGGGGTCCCAGGGAACACCGCAGTAGGGGGGTTAGGGGTGGTATGATGGTGGTCATCCTGCCTTCGTTCTGGATGCTGCAAGGTGTGCCCCTCAACCAACGTGGTCTTCCAGACGCTAGTTGCTAAAGGACAAGGGGGCAACAAAAGAAGACTACATGCACCCTAAACCTTGCACTTCTTAACCCTCTTGAGCTGGGCTACTGAGCTGCCTCCGACCCACAAGCAGCCAAGACCTCGACACCAAAGCCCGCTTTTCGACAAGCTCAAAAAATCCCAGGCCCTACCCTGAAGTAATAAAACCAGCTCGGCATTCTGAACACGTATCCGAGGTTTGGAGCTCGGTGCTTCTGGATCGGCACGTCCCCATCTCTGCGCCGGGTCTCGTCGGCGTCTGGCTGCGCGGCCTACAAACCGGCAACTTGGACCCTGATACTGAGAGCATGTCTTGCTTGCCACGACTAACAACAAGGTTCGTGTCAGGATGACAGATAGATTTCAAATGCGAACAGGAAAAGACCAGTCCTACCGAGCACTTGTCCAACATGGCCGAGTAGACGTTGGACAAGAGCATGTGCGTAGAATCCCAAGTGTTCTTAATCCCCAAAGAACTGCAGCCACCATGATCTTGGCAGGCAACAGTAGTAGCGCTGCCAGCACTAGCGCAAGCATACAAACAGTGACAGCCATCAGCGCAACACGCATGTTCCCATGTTCCTACACCTAGTCCGCACCACTACCTGTGGTTAGCATCATCGTCATCAAAGTCTTCTTCGCTTCGGCTGGAGCGTCGTAGCGGTATCGGAAGTGCCTGGTCATCACTATACGTGTGCAAGCATCATATCAACCCCGACGATGGCACATCACGTATGATGTGCAAGGATACTAGTTCGTCATGGTGATGTTGCTGAAAATAACGAAGAACAAGATGATGACGTTATTGGCAATGAGCATGATCACAGTCGAGATGCTGATGCTGATTGTCATAGTGGCGATGATGCGTAACCTTTTCTGAAGTCATATATCTACATACGATTTGTTTGTATGTAGACAGCATACACACGGAATGCGAACAGCCAACAGCGGCACGAATCGAGCTGATTGCTGGCAGTAATAGCAAGCAGTTTGCCAGCTGCATGCCGATCCATGCCGTGCAGAGATGTCCGGAGTGAGCCCGACGTGCAGGGTGAGACTCCGTCAGACTGTTGTTTTTTGAGAGTGGGCAAGGCGGGGCAGAACGCACGGGACGCCGTACAAGATCAGGAACACGACACTACACATTCGCTGATCTCCCGTGTTACCTGCTTCAGGGTTTCAGGATGGTTATCCGCTGGTAGGTAGGGGCAAAGCACTTGCAGCAACAGCTGAGCCGAGGCAAGTTCTGGGCCAGAGCCTTGGGAAAGAAGCATCCAAGCTCTCGGTGTCACCCCAGGCGTTGTACGGAAAGGTTTGGCAGTTCAGGGTTTCGGGAGTGGGTGAACAAAAATTAGGAGGCCCATTCGTCTTAGTGGACTCTTGAATGGGCGTCGTTTATGATCCCATCTTTTCTGGTGCAGGGGTTATTGAGGCTAGGGAAGCACTTGTCGGCTTAGAGCTAGGGTTCGGTGACTTGAGCCCGTGGAAACCCAGTTGGACATCAGGAAATGGAAGCATCCCGGCGCAAACACCACCACCCAAAGAGAGGGTTTAAGTTTAGATCCTAGTCCAAGACAGCGAAAAACTTCCTAGGCGCTCAATGCAAAATAAAAGCCCGGCAAACTATTGAGGTCATGCTCGGCGCAGCAGGGCCAGAACGTCCAGAGGACAGACGACCACACAAACTTGCAGAGTTTCGGCCATCGGCAATCCTTGTAGGCCAGCCTTCCGGGGTCAGATTAGACCGCAGATGACGGCAGAGTAGCAGACGTGTCGCATGGGAACCGAGAATTGATGAAGGACCAAATGACCCTTAAAAGTAGGGGCCCTATACCCATATACTATGAACCCCTATATGGTATGTGAACCTTAAACCCTTTTAGGGTTCTTTCGTCCTAAGATTGATGACACTTGGGAGAGCCGGAGCTGCAGTGGCTTATGTAAGAATGCAGAGTTTTCAGGCTATGGCCAGGTAAAGGCCTCGGCAGAGCTTGCGACGATGTTTGGAAGTCCCTTCGGAGCGCTTGGAACTCCGGGGATGCCATCAACGCCCTCATGGCGATCACCGTTTGCAGTGGGGCCCTCCACACCAGGGCTCACACCAGGACTCTTTGCTGGGACTTCAATGACCCCAGGGACCCCAAGTGCCTTCGGACTTTCTCTCACACCGGGTTTGAGGCCGGCCGTCTACGTGCCTCTGTCGACGCCCGCGCCCGCAGCGCCTGTTCCAGCAAGTCCCAGCTCCGACGATGAGGAAGACACCGATGAGGAAATATTGCCGCCCAATGAGGTCGACCCGGTCAAAGCCTGCCCCGGTATGGGAGCCACTGCGTTGTACAAACTCGAGATGCAGATCAGAGATTTAGAAACATACGCACCAGGACAGATGGAGTATTCTGCCACTCATGGCCCTGAGGGCTCGTTTCGGATGCGTTTGAAAGTCTATCCGCAGGGCGTCGGCCCCCATGCCGGGTCGCTAGGCGCATTCCTCGAGCTCATCCCGCCTTCGCACATGGCTGAGAGTGAGTGGTCTTGCCCTGATGTAAGATTTGACATCGCGGCCCTGCACGGTGGGTATCATGGGGAGTGGTGGAAACGGGAGGCTACAAGCCACACATTTACATCCGCCAGTCCTAGCCTGGGCTGGGATAACTTCGTGCGCGACCCGAGCGGATGGCTGAGCAACGGGGAGCTACTGCTCGAAGCTTCTGCCAGACTGCCAACGAGGAGCTGCAGGGTGGGGCTTACGGTATCATAATGACAAGACATGGTAATTGACAGTAATTATAGATTATAGATTATATAGACTCTATACTCTACGCTTAATTGGACTCTCTAGCGTTTCTACCAGGGCTCGGTAGTGGCAGCACCTGCCCCGTGCCTTCGCCCAAAACTTCGCTAGGCAGAGCTTCCATGAAGCTCCGAGCTGCAGCTACCCAACCATGGACTTCACGCAAGAGCCGGCTTTCATTACCTTCCGCGTGCGCGATGCCCCGCTGATCTTCTTTGACAAGCGGATTCTCATAGCACGCTCGGACTACTTCCGGGACATGCTCTCCGAGCCCAGGTTCAAGGAAGCACAGACCAACGAGATCGATCTGCGTTCGGATCCCAACGCCGACGTTCGCTCGGTCAGCGCCATCCTCACGTTCTTCATGTCCGAGACTTTCTTGGCGCAGGGAGATGAGCTCCTGGCCTTCTCCGTGCGCCACGCGGCTGAACTCCCGAAACATTGCTGCGCTTCCCAACAATAATTCCAGAGCCCTTATGCCCAGTATCTTTTCTTCTTAAGGGGTCTGACATGGTGCATAGGCTTTTGTCAACCACCTAATAAACCTATGTTTTTGTTTAGCCTATGTTCCCGCACCTTCAGCCGAGCTTTCAGGCCGCCTCGCCGACCGCTAGGGCCTCAAAGAGCTTCTTCTGAAGGCGGAAAGTGAGCTGGAAAACCTGCTTTGCGCTGACAACGTGCTCGAGTTCTTGGGGCAGGTGACAGGTGCGGTTCACGAAACACTGTGTTGCATAGAGTCGGGTTTGGGGCAGACCTTGTCCTCGACCCTGAGTTCAACGCATGCTGAAGTGTGCGCTGCAAATTTGTGGACAGCGGACCCAATGCCAAAGCCTATTACAGAGATTCCATTCCGGCAGTTCTATAACGATGGGAGCCTTAGAGCGGAGCCTTACTGTAGAAGCGGTTGAAAGCATCAATATGATCACTTGAAGCTGTAGGCACAGGCGGGCTGCTGGAGATGGCCTGCCTCGACATGATTAAGGCGAACAGCTGCGAGCTGTTGGACCAACAGCAGGCACAGCTTGATACGCCAAGCACTTTGTAACAGTGCTACAATGCCCCCTGCTCCTTAAATTCCTCAATCAGGGCCCAACGTGAGCCTCGCGGAGTAAAGGTGTGTATAGTATGTAGGCTTCTGGCAACTGGTATCTTCTTGTCGCACCCACGATGCAGGAGAACCTGGACCGAATCGCCGAGGCGAACCCTGAACTAGTAAAACAGCTGTTCCGATTGCTCATTGAAGCGAAGTCTCACAAGAAGCGGAGGCTTGAATGACGAAAACCGGGTTTTCATGGCTGTATAATGGACTCTATACTGTCTATACCCCTTTTTTGATGCCTTCCTTGAGCCCCCAAAGATGCCCAAGCTCATAACCCCAACGGATTCGGTATGTGAGGGAAGAAAGCAACAGCAAGCGTTTCCGAAGATGAGGTCGAGGAGCTGAAAACGGCGAATATACTGAATATACGAAGTGAAAACATCACTCGTAGTAAGGTTCTTCCCTTTTGACCCTGATACGATGTATTGACCGAAGATCGTGTTCTGTTGATTCTGTGGCCGACGAGCTGCAGTGTTCAACGTTCGAAAGTCGAAACTCAAGAAGCTCACCCTCTCCTGTCAGGGCATCGAATACAAGGCTCCGTCCTAGAAAGCATACTCATGGGGAAGGCTATGTACAGGTGATCCACATTGCTGCTTTGATTGTGGCCAGCTTTCAAGGCCATACGGAGACGGAGAGATGGGTGGTAACCACTGCGCGTAGGATCGTCTAGGCCACTGCACGGGAGAATCCTGGATAACGCTACGTAGCGAAGCATCTCGCGACATTTTTTGGTAGAGTCCTGGATGAAGCCCGAAGGGAGTTTGCCACTGTTTACGCCACAGGACCTTTTCGGCAACAACCGCATTCCCAAAGCCTCCTGCGATGACTGCGGCAACGTAGACCTGGACAGGCCGGTTTCATTGTCTGCGGTTCTTACAAGCTGGCAGGTAGGACTCAGAGATTCACGGGTAAGAGATGGTAAGAGCAGGAGTTATGTGAGCTGCTCATGGCTGCTGCCGTCGCCCGTTCAAACAGGCCATCGGATGCCTTCTCTGGCGCCGCGGACTTTTGGGAACTTTGGACCTCCTCTGGGCCAGGGGCCCAAGAAGCCCAGGCGCCGGTTCCAGACCAGCTGGACTTGGTTTGGGGCGGCTTCGGAGCTTGGAGGATCTGCTTCGTAGAAGCACTTCTGGGCGTTGCGCAGAGAAGTCGTAGGTTTCAGCTGGTCGCAACACAGCTCAAGTCAGGGTTCAGTGAGGGCGAGGGAGGCAGGGCGATTGTGGCAGGGCTAAGCGGCTATCATGGGTTCATCTGGTCCTGCAGCTTCTGAGGCAAGGACGGCCGCTGGTTATGGACTGCGCAGGCCCGGTTTTGGGGGATGCGAGCCGCGTCTCGCAACATGGCTTTTTGAAGTGTTCGCTTGAAATGGCCTGAAAAAGCCCTAAGCTGTGGTCGCACGATCAATTCCTAATGGCCCGTGAGATGGGCTTCGCCCTAGATATACACTCCGGACTCCGGATGCAAGTGCGTACACTGAAGACAGACCTGTCCATCAGGTGCGCCGCCGAGGGAGAGCTACTGCAGCACAGAAGGACCACTCCCCGAGCCCTCGCAAGCCTCGTCGGCTTCTGAAGCACTTAGTACTTACGATTGACGGGCTTTAGTTGAACCGGATTTCCACAAAGATCGAGGCACTTCGCTACTACTAGTAGCGAGAATAAGCTCCAGTCGCACCATCACGGTCCTGGGGACAGAGGCTCCAAATGCGTCGTCGTCGGTACTGGGTTTCTCGCGAGCCCTCGGGTACCGCGGCAGGAACTACCACCGGGACTGCAACGTGGACGACGACAAGCGCCGCCCAGGTTGTAACAAGCACCTTGCCTCGAGGTGCTGTTGCCAATGCTTGTTAGTTGCACGACATCGCTGGCACAGCTTGTGGCTGCACGGACCCACTAAGGTCCAGCAAACACCACGCCACCGCTTGGGCCAACAAGGCCGACAGTACGTCTCTAACCTCACATGTGCTGCACGTCTCAATCCAAAGTCATCAAGATCGAGCTGCCTGTTCGGAAACTCGAGAATGCAAGGATTGCACTGATTTCATTCCCGATTGCAAAATTGAAGATTGGCAGACTTAGCATGCCACCGACCCAAAGCCAAAGCTCTTCCTTCAGTCCGTGTTTGTTGGGCATGTTTCTGCACCTCGTTGGCTACAATACGCTCACCAACATGTCATTGAGTCATGATGGTCAAAGAGAGTATGAGGCCGATTCCCGATGCGAGATGCTTTGCGAGGGAAGCTGCCGAGGAAAGCTCTCAAACAGGGGAGCTTGTGATGTAGACAAGGCCACTTCGGTTCCCAGCTGTGAACCACTGTAGGGCCCACATGTGCCATGACGTATTTGCATATCCGTGTCTCTCAACGCAGTTCTATGGCAACCTCTTCAACTTCTGCGACCACCACTCCCACAACCACTACGACCACTGCCAGCACATCCGGTGCTCCTGGACCAGGTGCCAGTGCGCAAAGCACGACATACCTCCTGGGAGTGAAGCCAAGTGTGGGAGGTCCCGGTAAGTGATTCAGAGTTCCGGCAGAGCCCGGGAACTGTATCGAAGTCACAGCAGCTGCAACTGAATTTTAGCCCTAACAACTTGTTTCTATCCCATGGGAAAGCATGAACGCTTTCAAAGGCTCTTCGACCACATCCACCACGAGCATTGCCTCCAGCGTCGAGGTGTCTTGGAAAGTGCTAAAGCGCAGACGGTGTCTTGGAACCTATAGATTCGGAGCGGCTGGCTGCACGCACATACTAGGAGTGAAGTTTTGGGCTGCGGCGGCTCTAGGGTTGCACAATCCTTACCACCCTCATGAACAGAGGCACCGACTACGCTCCCCAGCTGGATGTCCGAGATGCCCATGGGCTGCGGGCCCAAGGCACCGACAGGGAAGCCGAGGTTGCAAGGACCTCTTGGCACTTAAGGGATCTCAAGAAGGGCGGTACGGCTCGTGTATCGTGTGCGTTGCGCCACAGTCGGCCTTGAAGGAGACATCCTGGGTTCTGTTGAGCACGTCTGAAGTTGTATAGTTTTTGCGTCTCACACTTCAATTCGCCAGGTGTGCCCCTTCCGCACCTCCATGGAGGCAGCAAGAGGATGGAAGCTACAGTATGTCCATTGACCACTGTCTTGATTCGCAGGCTGTTGTGAAGCAGATGCACCACCGGATGGCAATCGAGCTGCTGTGCTTAGTGGATGTGGATCATTCTCGCGAAGTTCGGTTCAACGCTGGTATTCTAGCGGTGTAATGATGCACATAACAGCACGGTCAGAAACAGGTAATTACTCGCTGGACCAAGCTCAGGTTCACATGCGAGGCTGATGTCGATTTCGTCCGCAGCATGCTCCCACATCATGAGGCTGATAGGGCTAGCAGTGGACAGGAGTTTGGGACGTTCGAACAGAGGTGGCTCCGTACTGCAGTGACACTCGACGAGCGAAGCAACTTCCGCAAGCAGTTGGAAGCGGCCAGGGAGCTGTGGCGATGTGTGCAGCTTTGGATGAGTCGCACGGCTGGCTCCAGGCTGATCCCCACTCTGCTGGGCTGTTTCATGAATGTTTCCTTCGACGACAAGTCTTCCATTGATTGAGGGTTCTGTCCAGTGACTCTAGTCTGTCTGTAACCCTGAAGACGAGTCCTGCGACCTGCCCGACGACATGTAACCTCCAACTCTTCTCAAGCACAGCGCAATCTGCAAACCATGGCGAACTGGCGACATGTCTCTGCAATGCCACCATGAACTCTGCAGGTCAGCATGCCTGCAGCTAGTAAATGCTGTCAAAGGACATATTTCGCGTGGTCTTGTCACATTCAAGGCAGGAGGATTCCCGATGTTCCATGAGCAAACTCCTCTCTCATGTCATGCGGCCTTTGCAGCATGTGAGCGCGAACCTAAAATTTGGCACAGCGAGTGGAAACGCAGCATCCAAACTTGAGGCAAGCTCCCGCAGAGCTTTCGGTTGCGGCCCAGTTTTCCTAAGCACAGTCACCTGGAGGTGGGGACGCGACAGATGAAAGTCGACTCTGACACAGCGGGTACTCAAAGCGGACCGCAGCTCTTCTGCCCAGCTGCCTGCGTCTTCTGCTGAGCATTCCGTCCGTCTGCGGGTGCAAGTTCGGAACGGAGGCATTCAAGCGGACATACGACAGCCTGGGCGAACTTGGCGCGTGTCATGTGTTTGCGGTGGCGAGGAAAGGCTCGGTGAAGAATCCAGCACCAAGCCTGCAACACAAATTGTTGGCGTTGGCGTTGCCGTCCGAACGACCCGGTTTCGTTCACTTCAGGATGTGCAGCATATCAATGCAGATTACATTGAATTGCATCAAGGTTCTTGAACGTTGATTATTGATGGCTATGTTTGTGTTCTGCAGCTAGTTGCCGCTCCTGAATCACAATCGGTTCAGCCTTGACGAGGGGTCCCAAAGAAGCTGACCGTGACAACAACTCGTTGCTTCTGATTCGCTTTTTGGAAAGGTCGGGCTTGTCCACTTCTGCTATCACGTCGCTTTGGAGCAGAGATGGGAGGCACCTCAGACCTTGATGGATTTCGGGTGTAGGATTCTGGTGTTTAAAGTTTGAGGCTTTGCGTGTTAAGATCTGTTTCTGGCGTTTCGTGTACCATCGTGGCCGCTGACGCAAGACTAAGACTCCAGGAGTAGGAAGGCGACATGGTCCAAAGTATCAAGGGCTGATTGGACGGCTGTTCCAGATTCTTGCTACAATGTCTCACTTGGTCGTGCCCAGGCTACATGAGCTTGTGCGCGTTTGCGGAATGGTTTGATCCCAATTAGCTATGGGACATCAGCACCCGAAAGCTGTCTAAGTTTGGCTCATGTGCTAGCTGCTAGCTATCTGTTGCGCAAACCGAACAATGTTGAACAAAGTTGTGTGGCATCGTGGAATCCCACAGGCTACGGAAGCCCAAAGCATGAGCCTCAAGGAAAAGGGCACGGAGCAGAACAGCAAGAAACCCAAACAGCAAAGCAGCTTTAGAACGTCCTCGACCACAACTCGAGCCCCGACCCTCAGCCAGCAGCTAAATGCCATCAGGTTCAAGGAATGCAGCAGTGGTTGGATGCAAGGAACCTCACAGCTGGCAAGGCGCAGGGGTATGCGAGGGAAGAGGTCTTGACCAGATTGGTCGTGGTCTTGGACGTGTCATGCTTTTGTAGCTAGTTTTTGCTGTCATACAGATTCCTGGTGGTACGAGTAGTAGGTAGTTCGCAGCCTGACGTCTTCGGCTACCTTTGCTCCCCTCTGGCTTGCTGACGATGTTCGCCCAGCGAAGTGTGCAAACACTGAACCAGACTCAAGCAGCTCATGCCAAGCAATATAGTGATCAATAAGATAGAATTTGCAACAACAGTAGTAATACTAATCATAATGTCGAAGTATAAGATATAGTAAGGACAAGAATAGTAGTACCAATTATAGCAACACTAGTTAGATGCCCAAACTCCGGATCCTTAGCAGCTTGACGAGGCCTGCACCGAAGGCTTGGGATGCGGAGACCTCACGTGTGTGTCCTCTCAGGCGTCGATGGGCAGCCCTAGGCCTAGGGTTGAGCAGCGTGTCAGTCTTCGGTTGCTTTGGGCTCTCAAGACTGTCATCGTCGAAAGGCTAGAGGCTAGAGGTGATGAGTGCAAACTTGGTCTGCTCCGCCAAACAACTCTATCCCCGGCGACTGGCGAATTGGCAGACCTCTTCATGTCACGCATCCTCTGCGGTTGCGATTCTACCCATTTCCTGTCGGCCTCTGACATCCCATCTGCTGCCATGCGCACCGCTGCCGAACTCTCTTGGCCTGTAAAACCTGCTTCCACGGTTTCTTGTCCATAAAGTCTTAGAATGGAAGCTAACACGTTTCCAGCAGACTAGTTGCCCTGTGATTTCCACCTTTTCCTAGGCACATAAGTGACCTTGATATTTCACTTGAGATGGCCGCAAAGCTCACACTGACGTGAAGCCTGGCAGGCATATTTGGCTGCAAACCGCCGCATGCAAGAGGCAGCCGACTCGCGAAGTGTGCAGACAAGCTTAGTTGATGTAAAGATCCCTTCCAGCACTCCTCATCAGGGCACATTCCTCTGAAAATAATGGAGCAAGTGCCGAAGTCAAGCTCACTTTCTATGTCTGATCCCTGAACCCGACAATCCGTACTGTAGAAAAGACACTAAACCTTAACCACAAACCCTGAAGCCACGAACCCTTTAACCCTAAACCCTGTATCCCTAAATCCTTGATGTTGGGTTTGCCAAGTCGCCGCGAATCGCTCGTGCAGGCCATGACTATCAACTACAGCTGCCATACCGAGGAGGACTCGCTAAAGTCCGTCTCAGCTTGATGTGGGTTTGGGGGTTCAGAGTGTAGGGTTGCGGGTACTGCAATGGGTTTATCTACAATGGTACAATGGCTTCAGTTGTTTGTATCATTCGGACTTTGAGGTTAGAGCGATCCGGGCATTGATAAGAGTAACGATAAGAGGTCCTGAAGTTTACTGTAGAGCCCTCGCAGTTGGAGTTGAGGAAATATCGCACTACGGAATGTGCTTTGCCGCCTTAACGCTGCCACAAGCTGATTTGTGTCAGCCCGAGCCCCGGTTAACTTACATCGACACCAAGATGCCCAAACAATCTAGTGGCAATTGTTTAACCCTGTGATGCTCCATCCAAATCACTCCGTATCCACCATGTCAGAAGAGCTTGTTGCAGTATCCGATCGAGTGGTTTAGTTCGAGGACTTTGTGCAGGCTATGCTTCCGCACCACCAGGCCTGACAATCGAATCTGATTGCGGGCGAACGTAATCGTGTAGGACCTTGTGACAGACATTCTCTGGTGATGACTTCACACGTCCATGCGGCTCGGCACAGAGTCAGAGTTGTGGCATGCCGTCGCAACGAGCCTGTCTCGGTTCTCTTGGCCTCGTTGACGGATGTTGAAGATGGCTCTCAGACTACGGGAACTTCTAATTTGCTCTCAGCTGCCTGGGAGCTGTGTGACCGTTCTGCAGACATCGGTCTGAGCTGCATGCCATCACTTCCCAAGAAAGTCATATTTGTGTTAGATTGATTGTAGGCCATCTACATAGGCAAACAGAGCCTACTGGCTCTGCTAGTTTGCATTCGTTTGCCATTCGCCCCAGAACGACCTGTGCAAGTATTCGGTCCTTTGCCTGCTCATCTCAATCCTGAAAACCAATGCATTCCCGTCCAGGGGGCGGTCGAGATGTGCGCTGTTCTTCTGGAAAGTACTTCACAGGACGTGTGACTTGGCTTGCAGCTAGAGAGCTTCCCGAAGCTTCCTTACTCGGGCACTGCCATTCGAGTCTCGCACAGAAAGGGGCCCCGGCTATTATCCCGCAGCTCACAGAACGGAACCATTGGACTTCTTTCGTGATGTCAGGTACTTGCGGGACTTGTGCGGGAAGCTCAGGCGTAGTGTTCTGTTTGGAAAGAGCTTGCGTGCCGGGACGCGCGCCAGTAGACAGACGTATCCGGCTGTTGCAAGTTGCGAGGTGCCAACATCACCAGGCTGCAGACAGCGGAAATGTCATGGATGAAGGACCAGCCAGCAAGGAGTTTTTTCCCTTGGTAATTAAGCCAGCTGAGAGGTGGAGTGTCGGTTCTGCTGTCGCAAGTATGATAATGATAAGATGCTGCTCCTGCCGAGGGTAGTTTCTTAGCACCACTGCCTAAAAGACAGACATGCTGCACCATGCTCAACTGATGCAAGCCTCCGCAAGCCTCCTTTCACGAATGTGTAGGAAACTCCTATCATCACGCGCAGGATTGGCTAACGTTCAAGGCTCGCCTTCTTTCGCCGTGCTTTCGCTGGCTTTCTTCGAGATTATCTTGAGTCCTAGACGGTACCTGCACTCTCGGGCTCTTGGACTGTGAGCTCAGGTATTGTGCCAGGTCGCAGTGTAATGCTGATGTCAAAGCCTTTCCCAGTCTGCTGGAGCGGTATGGAAGCCACAACAGCCATTCTCTTCGCAAGCAGTCCCGCCTCCCCCTGTTCACCACTTCGCAACCCAAGTGTGCCGTGATCCTCATCACCACTACCACTAGGATCAGTCGTGCGCTGGCTCCGCACCCATAAGCCATTTTTTGCACCATTCCGAGGGGCTCTCTCCGGCGCAGTGCCACGGTAACTCCGATTCCACGGCTCCTTGCGCGGTGCTCCGGGGGCTGGGGGAGCAAAGCTGGACGGTCTTTAGAGATTTTATGATTTATGTGGCATGAGGGGGTTAAGAAAGGGCTTATGAGCTTTGGGCGATGAGGATCACTGCAATGCAACGCCTGAGGATTCTTGCTTGGAGCATCACGTTTGATCCCGTCATGGTGTTTACGAAGAAGCTAGGCATGCCATCAATAGTTTGGGAGACGACGCAAGAGAGGGCAAAGCCAGCTCGGACCTTCGGACGTGGATAGCGTACGGAACAGTACAAGGGTGCTCGGGGGAAGGTGAATGTTCACATCACGACTCGGAAACGCATGGCCAAGGTGGTAAGGCCATCAGCAGCAAGGTCTATAAGAGCATGCAACGATGCTTTGATGTTTGCCTGATGTTGATTTGACACTGGGCTCCCAAGGCAAGTTTCTTGTGCACCTTGGCCCTGACACTGCCAAACGTTTTCCCAAAAGAGAGGGCCCAGAGGACATTGATAGGCGATCCAGCTTCCAGCTATAGATCTTGAAGTTGTAGACTTAGAGCTGCTCATGGATTGCAGGATATGATGCCCATCACTGACATTTGCCATGTGGCTGGGCTGCAATGCCTACAACTGTGTCTCAATCTGAAATTCTGCTGAGAAGCAATTGAAGACCTAGGCAGCAGGAGAGCCAAGCCCTGGTTCCTCAGGTGTTCAACCTGCTAAGTTTACGTGCTGTTGCGCTGAGATAGGCTTCAGTTGCCTGGCTTTAGCCGTAGCTCCGTTCGTTCATATATATATATATATATATATATATGTATATATATATATGTGTATATATATATATAGATAACTCTATGTGTGTATATATATAGATAGATAGAGAGTCAGATAAAGAGTTTACTGTCCAGGACTTGGGCGGAGATCGGCTTTGCGACTGCTCTGAGCTTACGGACTCTTGCAGCAGCATCGCCATTGCTGGTGGCAGGCGCACGCTAGTTCAATCAAACCTGCCTGAAGCTACTTTCATCCTCACTTGTCATGGACCGGTGCTACTGCTGCTACAAAACTGTCATTATGGTCTCATAGTTATAGTCTTCTAAAGACTAGTCTGCACTACCAAGCACATCACCGAAGGACCCAGAGATGTAACCTAGCACTAAATGCGGTCCACTGCTTTCCTCAACCTGCTTGGAGCACGCTGCTGTGCTGTTCTTTTCTCCTGTTGCTTCAGAGTTGATGGCTCACGGTTTCCTCAGGGTTTCAGCCATAGTCTTGTCCTGGGCGTAGTTTTACAGACTTGCTTCGTACGCAGGAGGCGGCCAAGTACTTCATGCAACAACTGTCCTGCTGCTGTGGCTGGTGTTCATGATTGCTCCGGTTTGACGTTTTGCGGCTGGTGCTACATTATTGCGGCTGATCATGCTGGTCAGTTTGGTTAAGGAAGCAGGTCACTTCCAGATGAGGTAAACCTTCTGCGACAGCGACTCCTGCTGCCACGTTACGAAGCCATGTGAGGCCTCAACCACAAAAAAACCCTAAACCCCTAAACCCCTCTAAATCCTAAATCCTGACTGGCACTTGCAAAACCCTGTGCAGGCGTTTTGCAGTCAGCACAGGCCTCAGCTCCGTCTGAAGGGCTTTAGACTGGACCCTCAAAGACTGAAGCAGAAGGATGAGTTGAGTGCCGAGCGGATGGCGGTTTATGGGTGTGTATACGCCAGTTATATTGTTCTGAGGGACTTGGCTGCAACGCACAATCGCCTTACAGGAAGTTCTGCATCGTCATTTTGAAGCTTCAGCAGCAATGACTCATGCTGAGCGGTGTAAAACATAGCAAACGGGAGGCACAAGGGATGCATGTACATGGAGTCTGGGCCAAGATGTGATTTGCGGTTCAGTCCCGGCGGGGCCAAGACCCGGGGAAAAGCAAACCAAGGCACCGTTTGCCGCGAGACGTGCGGCCTCTGCACGGCAAAGGACTGCAAGCGGCACAGCATTGCCAAGCCTGATTGCACCTGTTAGATGAATTCATTCGAAATTCCTGACAGAGACCAGCCTTGCCAATGCAGATTTTGCAGTTATGAAAGACTTGTGAATTGGGGCCGAAGCGCTTGCACACATAGGCACTGGAGTCATTGCAGTTTGTGAATCAGTGCAGTGCTGCTGCAGTAGTCATCACACAGCGGAGACTCTCTGACATGACATGTCGAGACATTGATGGAATGACGGAGTGAACCGGAAGAACCTCCGCAAGACTGAGCCTACACACATGCACGCCTTTGCCCAGACTGCTGCTGACATCGTGGTGGAGCTCTTGCAGTTGGGAAGCGTACCAGACAGTGCCAGCATCTGAGCATGCAGAGGCTTTGCAGGAATGCGGAAGACAGGCCAGTTCAATTGCTGCCATGCGCACTTCCACACACCAACACAGCACTGGATTGCAAACCCGCAGCGAATCCACATGCACAATGATCGAATGAACCCTGAGTTTCTGCAAAACGTCAGGAAACTTTGGGATTTTCTGGGGCTGCGACTGGCAACTGCAGGCTGCCAGCTCATCCACAAGTGCGCTCAGCACTACAACCACTACATCTGCGATGCCGGCCTCAAGGCGAGAACTGCTAGCCTGGGAGCCCTCAGATGCTGGTAGTCCGAGTCTCCGGTGTGGAGAGCCAGACTCGTGCCCCCCAGTCTTGGCTGACAAGGAATCTTTCTGAGGGGGCGACCTTGAATGCTGATGAATGCTGGATTCCGATGTTCACTCGGAGAGCCCTGAGCCGTGTGCTGCCTAAGCATGCGCGTTATATGTCCCCCTCCGCTGGACTTCAAAAGTCTTTACCTGCACATGAATTCCGAGACGTAAAACTGTCTGCATAAACGCTTTTCATCTGACACGCTGACGTCCTACAGAGGAACTTTGCAGATGTAAGCAGGCTCCAGTCCAGTGATGCCGCGGGTAAGTGGCAGTCTTCACGTATGTTGCAGAGACAGCGCTTCGCATTCGATTGGGGCTTCCTTGCAATGTCAAGCTTCCTGTCGGCGTCATTGTGCTCGTATCGTGTTACTTGCTCCATCTCGTCATTGTCTTGTCCTTATCTGGCTATGTGCACCTCAGCCATCGCTGTTATCACTATCTTTACTAGTTGCTAGTCGTATTGTCGCACAAAACTCCAGTGTTTGTAGGATCTCTTTGCTGTCTAGCATTGCTGCACCTCTTGTCTTTGCAAATAGCATTGCTACTTTTTAACATTGCCTCGTGTTTCTTCTTCGTTGGGATGGACACATGCAGACGACTCAGTTTTGCTTTGTTGCGCCTTGGGAGGCCGACCAAGGGGGTCGTGGCTTCGTCAGGCCACTTTCCAGTACCCTTCGTGCTGGCGTGAGGCTCAGGAATGTTTGCAGGCTCAAAGCATTGTTAATTTAGGATGTCGGATAGGACATGACACATGACAACATGACGCATTTAATCAGGACTCCGAGTCCCGAGGCTTGCAGGTGTCCGGAACAGACCGAGATTCAAGAAGTCAGGCACAGAAGGGACGACTCCTTAAGAGGTGAGTAGCTGGAGTTCGTGGGACCGAGAATGTCATGGTAGCAGCGGCAGATATCGGAAGAGGTAGTTAGGGTGGGAGTTGTGGAAGTGGTCAAGAGTGGCAGCATTGGCTACGTTGGACGTCAGCAGTGTCGGCAGAGTATGGGACACGAATGAATAGTACAAATGACTCTGAGTTGCAGGCTAGCAAGACTAGTAGTAACACTTGGGCCTTCCGTCATCATCGCAAGAGTCTAAGACGGGGCGGCAATTGTTCCAGACGGAGGATAGAACAGCAACTCGAACATGAAATTATCGCCAGCATTGAAGCATGCAGAGGCCAGTGCAGCAGCTACCAGTAGTCAATGAACACCTCAGCGCGTACTCTTACAGATACACTAAGCATAGCTGTTCAGGTGAACTCACTGGCCAACTCTGGCGAATCTCCATTACTATATTGGAATTTGGTTGCACCCTGAGCTGCTCAGGTTGCAATGCTACTTGTTTGGGTCTTGAGCTGAGATCCTCGGATGCCAGGAGCAGTGGCGAAGCAGTAACCTTAGGTTTCTCTTGAGCAAGATGCTCGGAGATGGGCGGGAAGGCTTAGAGGTTTGACATTCCGGTTGCTCGGTGGTTTCAGGACGTGGATGCGAAGTGCAGGCTTCTTGCCATGTGCAAGCAAGCTGTGAAATTCGACGTAGGCAAGATAACGTCACTTGTCTGAGTGGGCGCAGTGCAAGCCTGGAAGACCCCAGGACAAGTTCCAATCATTACCTCCCTTCGCCAAAGGCGAAGATCACCCGAGAGTTTTCAAGCCGTAGGTGATGCTCTCGGCTGCAAGATGTTGTGGATCTGCTGGCAGCCTCCAATCTCACCTGGTGTCCAAGTTCGCATAACGGACATTAGGCATGGTGCTTTGCCCACGGAGCCACAGAGCACAAACCTTGCTGCTGAGTAGCTTGGTGGGAAAGCGACGATAGATGCAATCTGCCCTCCAAAAGATACGACTTCATTCCATATTTCGTATCTGATTTGCACAGAATATGATGAGCTTAAGATGCTGCAGAAAGAAGGACATATTAACAAAATTGAATTTGTTCGTTGTTGATGAAATCAGAAATTCTTAGAACAAAGTATTATTTCGTGATTAAATTCTCTAATAAAACGGTGTCGTGCTGGTCGCGTCCGTGATTTTGTGCGCACTCCTGTCTCCCTGTAACTTGGTCTTTTTCTGCGTTTCTTCGTAGAAACCTCTTGCATGGTTGTCTCGCATGACTACAATCTGGAAGTTTTAATGTCGCGAGTGCTTTTCTCCCGGTATTAAAATCTAGGAATCTAGTAGGTATCGGTAGCTTCGGAAAATCTCGCGGCGTGCAATTCTTCCCAAATTTTGGTAGCTTTAGTGTGATGCGGAGTTTCCGAGGCTTTGCTTGCTGAATGAAAGCAAGCATCAGTCGCATGTCAGGGTTCGTGTACGGTTCTGGTCCGGTTC